TGGTTGTGTGTGTGTGTGTGCCTCGCGGGACGTCCCCCGGTGATAGCCGATTCGAGCAGTGGCGCTACCCAGTGAGAGGTCACCCAGTGAGAAGCTACCCAATTCATCGTTCACATCGGCACCGTCACGTATGGATTCGCCTGGTCCTCGAGTTGGTTCACTTTTTCTGCCTCTTCCTCTGTGCTCACTTCTTCTTCTCCCAGTTCTTGCGCCTCTTCCTCTGGCTGATCCCCCTGGAACCTCCGAGGGTTAAGGGTGATGCATTTGGTTATGTCATTTGTCTTGTAAATGCCAATCATCCTGTCGCACAGCTCAAACATCTGATTTCGCAAAGAGATGACGATAAACTGCGCATCGCTGGTTTTCGTCTTAATGTAATGAGAAATGATGGAGACATTCTTGAAGTCAAGTGCTGCATCGATCTCGTCCATAAAGTAAATAGGGTTTGGCTTGAAGTAGTGTAGAGCAAAGACAAGAGCTAAGGAGCTAAGAGTTTTTTCTCCTCCGGATAGGTTCTGTATATGTTTCCAGCTTTTTTTGGGAGGTCGAACGGAGAAAAGAATCCCTTCATTAAAGATTTCGGATGAATCGATGATCTCTAATTCTGCATCTCCACCTATGGCGATCATTTGATACATTTCTTTTAGCTTAGCAGCGATGATGTTGAATGCGAGGAGGAACTCCTTCCTTCTCTTATTGCATAGGTTATCATAGTGTTTCTTTAATTTGTCCTTCTTCTTCCTTGACTTGTAGACATCTTTTCTTCTCTTTATATAGTCATACAGTTTCACGTTGTAATCCTGGAAGACCTTAAGGTTTGGGGCCTTCTTCTGTAGAAGCCGTAACTTACTCTCTAGTTTGTTTTCAACTTCTTTTCTGTTCATACATTGCAGTTGCTCATCCGTCACATTCGCATAGTCGTATTCGCTTTCGAGATCGCTCCATTCTTCGTTGTCGCACGCCATGTCCTCCAGGGCTTTGAGCTCCTCCTCCTGGTCCTCGTCACGCTGGCGGGGGTCGCCCCCTTCCGCGTCGCTCTCCCGATCGCCACCCCGTGTGTCACCACTTCCGTCACCACTTCCGTCGCCGCTTTCCTCGGCGCTCCCCCTCTTCCGCTTTCTGCTCTGTGCCGCGCCCTCCGAGCTGCGCTTTCGTTTGCCCCCTACCGCGCCATCATCATGATCGTCAAGGCCATCCTCGAGGTCTTCCTTACTTCCCTCCTCGCCGCTTTCCTCTCCGCTTTCCTGGCTGCTCTCCTCGTCGGTGCTCTGGTCGGCGCTGGCCCCGCCGCTGGCGCGGCACGGCTTGTTCTCCACGACGACCCGATCGGCCTGCTCAATCAGTCTCGTGTATTCATCAATCTTCCCTTCGTAGGCGATACCCCTGAGTCGGAGCTGTTCTATTTCTTTCTGTAGATTCTCTGTCTTGTACACTAGATCCACATTCTCTAGATCCTTCTTGGAAATGTTCTCATCAATTTGTTGCTTCTTCTTTTGGTTCTCCTCCATCTGGGCTTGCACTTTCGCTACCTCCTTCTCCATCTTTTCTATTTCTTCATAGACCATGCACCCTTTTGTCTCTAAATCCTTGAGCTCACTCTCTAGTTCTTTTTCGTTCTTTTCATATTCCTCAATCTCGTCTGTAAACTTGAGAATGTCTTTCTCTCCTTTCTGCAGATTGGCTAGGGCATTCACCTCTTCACTGCTGTGCTTGGCTATTTCATCCCGGGTGATGTTTAGTTGTCGCTCCGCGTACATAAACTTATTCTTAAGTGTCTTTTTCTTTTCTCCCCCAACGTTCTGCAGCTGCTCATAGTACATCTTCACTTTACTCTCCTGTGCTTTGAGAAGAATCTCGACTTTGTTCCTTTCGTCGTTTTTTTGTTCTATCATTTCTTTGATATGTTCCAGTTCCTTTTTCTCCTCCGGAGTGAGTTCCGGCACATCGGAGTTTTGTAACTGCCCATCGATGTCTTTCAGTTGTTTTTTGCAATTCTCGATTCGCTTCTTCGCAATCTCTAGCTTACACTCGTTGTCCTCTATAAGAGTCGTTATTTCCTTAATTTCACTGAGGAGGTTTCCCTTGCGCAGCTTCAGGTCCTCCATAGTTTTGTTTGCCTCCTTAATGTCCCCTTCCGTCTTGGCGACATCGTTTTGGTCATACTGAGAAGGGGCCTCGGCTCTGAAGAAGGAGCTACTGCAGTGGCTTCCCTGTTCTTCTGTCCCAGCGTTTCCGCAACTCTTTCGCACGGATGTTCTCCCCCCCCAACCTGCTCCTTTCCCTTGCTTGTTTAGAAGCCCTCCCCCGCAAATACGACCGTCATTTTCGATTAGCTCTCCCCCGACCGTGACGACTCTCCTTTTGTGTGAATATCCGATGACGTGTGCCTCCTCTAGAGTGTTCGCCACGAGGGTTTCCTTCACAGCGTAGTAGAAGCATACTCTGTATTTCTCGTCCTTAAATCGGATGAAGTCAATAAGTCTGTGAACGTTGGGGAGGAGAGGGGTGTAATTCTCATCATGTTTCTTCATCACTGGTAATAAATTGGCTTCCAAAATGGAGAGAGATAATACGTTCACTCGTCCGAGGTTGTGCTTCCTCATTTGTTCGAAAAGCAGCACAGCGTCATGTGGCTTATCCACCACAACAAAGTCGGTGCAATTATTTCCTGCGATGAGGAAAGCCTTCTCATGCTTAGGATCGATGGATCCTAAATCACCAAGGACTCCATGAATGCCTTTAATCTTTGTCTTCTTCAAATGGTAAATCAGTTCGTGTAACTTACTCAGACTTCTATCTGTGTTGAGTTCTTTCTTCATCGTTTCGTACTTCACCGTTAGGTTAACCAATTTGTTGGTTACCTGTTCTGTTTCGTTGTCTATCCGAGTTACTAGTTCTTCCTTCGCGTGGAGAGCTTTCCTCTTCTCCGATTCCACCTTACTCATGTGTTTCAATTGGACATCGATCTCCTTCATCTCGTTGAGCAGCTTCGTTTGTAGATACTTGAGATTTTCTTGATGAGCTAAAAATTCCCTTTGTTTCTTCTCTATAAGATTGGATCGATTGCTATACTCAGAGGTAACTCTGACCAAATCGTCGTAACTGTTTTGAAGGGGAGCTAACTTCTTCTCTTCATTGGAGTAAATGGTATTAATCCTATCCGTGTCTGTTTTGATTTCTTCATTGTATTTCTCCATTTCTTCCTCACACTTTTCTAGTTGTCTCTCTAATTTTGGAATGTTCTCTCTTTTTAGCACATTTAGAATCTTTTGTTTGCTTTCGATTATGCTCTTATATAGAGGGATGTCTTTCTCCCTGAGCTGTTCCCTCTTGACATACAGATTCTGGATTTTCTCTACAACGATGAGTAACTCCTTCTTCACGTTCTCATCCTGAGTCGTCAACACTTTGAACTCATTGTCTACTTTGTTTTTTCTTCTTATAATTTCGCTCTCTTCATTTTCTAGAGAACTTAAAATGATATTCATTTCTTTTCTCTCCTTGAGTAACGTTGCGTACACTACGTTGTGTTGTTCCTTTTCTTTCACATATTTGGCTAGTTCCTCTTCTTTTATTGAGATCCTTTTGGCTAGTTCGAATTTGTCTTTCTTCACGATCAATATGTTTAGCTTATAGGTAAACTTCTGCAACTGCACGTAATACTTTGCTTCCTTCTTCGGTCCAGCTAATTCCTTCAGTTCGTTATAAACATGCTTCAATCGGTTCACCTTATCATGATACACTTCTTCACTTCTTTCAAGCTCTTCTAGGCTATTATTTATTCCTTCTATGTAGGAGTTGGTCCCTATGATGTCTTCTAGATACTCGAGGAGTCCTTCTTCATTTTTGTTTCCTTTGGGACTCATTTGTGAGATTTGCTCTACTTCCCCCTGCAGGATGAGGAAGCGGTTGTTCCTTAGATCGATCCCCTTTTGGAGCAACAGATCGAATACCTCCTTCTGCGTCACCACCTTGTCGTTTATTCGGTACCGAGATTGATTGTCCGCCGTGGCTTCCCTGCTGATGGTGAAATGTTGGGGCGACTCCAGGGGGGGGGGTTGCCACTCAGCTGGCCTATCCCACTGCTCTTGTCCATCCCATTGCTCTGACCCCTCCCACTTCGCTCGCCCCTCCTGCTGCGATGGGTCATTACACTGCTCTCCCCCCTCCGAGATGGTCCTGAACTGGATCGACACCTTCGTGTACTCGTTATGCATGGAGTACTTCGAACTGTGAATCAGGTCGCAGAGCTTGTTCTGCCGGATTTTCTTCGCCCGACGTCCAAACACAAACAACATGGCATCGATAATGTTGCTCTTGCCACTCCCATTCGGACCCACAATGCAACTGAACTTCTTGTAGAACGGTCCAATGACCTTTACTCCGGAGTAGCTTTTAAAGTTCTCTAATATGAGCCGGTCAATTATTATCCTCGAGTTTTTCTTGTTCTCTATGCTCAGCGTGTGGGGGTTTAATGCTCCATTGATGTCCCTCTCCGCTGCGCTTGCGGAGCGGTCTACTTCTAATCGGTCTACTGCTAAGAGGTCTGGTATCCCCCCGTTCATGAGGCTTAGTGTCTGCGTGTTCGCTGCATCCTCTTCGACCAAGAGCTCCTTCGCCTCCACGGCGCTGATGGCGTCCCTCATCTTGGCAGCCCCCAGGCAGAGACGCTCACGCGGCGGCGTTTAAGCAGTGGGGTGTAAGCAGTGGGGTGTAAGCAGTAGCGTCTGAACTTCGCCTTGTAGTTTGGCCTTGTAGTTGGACCTCGCCCTTTCACCCCTCCGTTTCACCTTCCTCGCGCGGGCGTCCTTAGAGGCTCTTCGCGATGGTCTTACGTTGGGCCTTCCCCTCGTGGCCTCCTCTCTGGTGATCCTCCGGTAGGTCCTCTTCCGGATGGCGCTGGTGTGGATTTTTTTTTTTTTTTCTTGGCATGCTCCGGCAGGGCGGTATTGATCCGCGGCTCTCTAGCACATGGGCCCACTTGTTATCCTTTGCTCAGGTGCGGCCACCTTGGCATAGCTTTTCTTAGCTTATCCTCTATTCGGCTCGCCCTTTTTTTTCGCTTCTGTTTGCCCCCCTCCGCTTAGCCATACCGGCGTGTACTCTCACTGTGTGTACTCTCGCCGTGTGTACTCTCGCCGTGTGTACTCTCGCCGTGTGTACTCTCCCGTGTGTACTCTTGCCGTGTGTGCGTGGGCCCGAAGCCTTCGCCCGGGAGCCTTGCGCGGAGGGATCCACGCCTTTGGGTCCACGCCTTGGACAATTTAAGCTCCCCCCGGGATTCCTCTGTCTTGGGATCCCCGTTCAAAGGGCCTTCACAGGGGAGATGCGAAGGGAAGAAGGGCGGGGGAGAATCGGTTGCGCTGATGCGGAGAATTCAGGTGGGGAAAGAGGCTTGAAGATTTCCAAGGGGGGAAGCATTAATACCTAAATACACAAATACATAAATACACAAATACATTAATACACAAATACACACGTCATATTTACATACCTTTACATGTACCTACATAATATCATGCCAGGTCGGAGCGTCGCACTGGGAACCCCCCTTTCTGCCTGAGTCTGGAGAGAGCAGCCAAATGTTTTGCCAAGCGCTCGGGGCATGCTGCGTTTGCTGTGCCATTATGAATGCTGGCACTGACACGAGGAGTGGTCCCAGGAGGGAGGCGGCCCGACTGACTTCACCTCTTTTGCCAACCTTAACACCAAGAAGAGCGTCTATTGGCAGTTGTAAATGTTTCTGGCAAATGCCTTTTCACGGTGGTCCAGGGGGCGAGCACTGTGGGGGGGATAACACCCGGCCTGAATGAGAAAGATCGGCGATTCAGAAGTGGGTCCACGAGGATCCACGAGGATCCACGCGGGTCCACGCACGTTCACACCTCTTTTTACGCGCTAACATGCCCGTTCATTTTTAATTTTCCCAGATGTTACGGCTCCGCAGGGGGGAGGCCAAATGTGCGATTGGGCCATTTCCTCGTATCGGAGTGTCTGACGGGTGGTTGGGCCCCTGTGTGCTCATGCATGAATCCTCTGCTCCCGTAGCACACCACAGGTGGGACAAACATGGGTTATTGTCTCTTTCGCCTTTCTCCTCCACTTTGTGATTGTTAGTAGTTCACCCGTTTTATCCTCTCGTTCAGTGATGTGCATAGCACAGTGAGATTACCTTAGGGTACTGCTCAATAGAGTTGCCTATCATTTAGTCACTCTTTTTTTTTACCACGACCATCGATGGTTACTTCGATTTGGATGTGCGCGATATAGTGGAGTGGAATGCAAGCGAAAGGGGGGACACTGCCTCCGATGAATTAGCACTGGGGAGCTGAAGAGACGGCTTTTTATTTATTCATTTTTTTTTTTTTTCCCATATTTTTTTTCCAGCTTGAATACGTGCAAATCTTTTGCTTATGTTGTGCGGGGGTGTAGGGGACATGACACAGGGGATTTAAAAAACAAAAGTGCAGCAACGTCGCCGTTGGGAAGTCGCTAATGCGTTTGCTTTGTACGTTATATGTAGCTAATTTGACAACAGTTCATTCCAAATGGTGTGTAAGGGAGGGGGGGCTGATTTTCCCCATTTGAAGCTCTGAGAGGTGCGAGAACTTGGGCAGTCACATACCACTTTAACCATCCGTGGTTGGGGGGGTACACCAAACGGAAAGACGAAAGATTACCCACACTTGGCATGCTACACATATGGAAAATCTCCTTTTGCGCGTACATATCGATAGTGTTTCGACGTACCCACCAGTTATGTTCTCCCTTTAGAAGGAAGAGAGAGAGAGAAAAAATATTCAGTTTACCTCAACACAGGGTAAGCCCCTCTTTTTGCTCATTTTTGCCTGAACCGTTCAGGTGAAAATGTTACGGGGAATATTGTTTTTTTTTTTTTTTTTTTTTTTCTTTTTTCCGTTCGTTATTCTTTTCCATCGTTTTGGAATTTTCTCCATAGTTTTGCCATTTCTTTTTTCCGTGTATTACAAAGGCTCGATAAGTCGGTTACCCGTTGGGTTTTCTTAATTTGGACGTCATTTTATGGTCTTTCTTAGAAGTAAATTTCTTCTCTATTAAAGAAGAGACACGTGTAAAACAGACCTTATTATCCCGTTTAACAACTCGGTGGGGCTGTCCAGGTGGGGAAGTTTCATTTGGTGGTCTCTTCTTTTCAACTTCTCCACACCGTCATGCAGCTGTGGAGAAGTATCTCTAACTGCACATGAAGACAGCTTCGTTCCATACGTGAGTTTCCCCCCATCCATCTGTCGCAAAAAAAGGGGAAGGGGGTGGACTGCAAACATAAAGCCGATACACCTCATAAAGGGAGAGAGGTGTCACACCATGCATAGCACGTAAAAAAAAAAAAGGGAGTAATAATAAAGCTATTTCACACATATATTTGTCCTTTCGCAAATATATATAGTGAGTGTATTTTCCCCTCACGGGGGAAAAAGTCGCCTCAAAAATATGCCTGAACAGTCAGGTAACATTGGGGAACACAAACTTTGTGAAGCACTTTACCAAACAAGGGGAAATTGGAAGGGGAATCATATCCAGGGTGACAAAACCAATTGTATATAAAAAAATTCCTGAGACTTACAGAGAATGCCATTGGAGGGGTTGTTTTGTGCCGGTTTGCAGTTAAAATAAACAGCTCTTGTGAATGCGGCATAAAGGTTGTGCCACAATTGGGACGGATAGTAAAAATATAACGCATGGAGGCAGCCAACTGGTAAAAAAAAAAAAAAAATTAGCGGCAGTATTGCCAAAATGTGCTACTCTACACTGCTTATATCACCATTGCATAAGAGAGGATGACAGGAAAAGTGAAAACATGGCAAAGTTAAGGTGAACGTTCGATGCCATTTCGCGATCGCCATTTTTTCCCCTTAGCGAATTCGCTTCTACGTGTACGATAGGCGCGTTCGCTGCGCGCTTAAAGAACACAGGCCGATTCGCTGCCGAAGGCGTCAGTTCATGGTGAGATCCTTCCTACGCACATACAATGGAATACGAGGCAAGGGAGCTGGAAAAAAAGGCCGAACAGCTAAACAAGAAGGGGTTCCTCTCTTCCTTTTTTGGGGCCGACAATACGGACGAAATGATCAACTGCTACAACTTGGCCGCCAACAAGTACAAACTGTGCCACAAATGTAAAGAAGCATTTTTTTCGTGAGCAATTTTGGGGTGAGACGGGACGGGGTGACACATGGCCAGATGGAGAAAGAGAGGTCTGGTCCTCCTTCCCCGTCGCCGAGTCGTAGTTCCCGCTCGGAGGAACTGACGCTGGTCGTGTGTGGAGGTGCACGCTGTGTTGCAACGCGCACGTCTGGTTAACCCGACCGTTGGTTGTCGCTGCCCTTCATTAGCACTGCTCTTCATTAGCATTGCCCTTCATTAGCACTGCTCTTCATTAGCATTGCCCTTCATTAGCACTGTTGCTTATTCACTCCCCCCCCATTGGAAACGACCCACCTTGCAGGGAAGGAGGCCACCGCGTGCATCCTGAAGAACGCCGTCCTGCACAGAAACAACAACGAGACGAGCTACTGCGCGAATGCGTACTTGGAAGCGGGGAATATAGCCAAAAAATATGACAAAATGGGTAGGGATCGCCCCCCTTGTATGAACAGGGAACACAAACGCTTTTAACGAGACGTCATTAGTTTGAGCGCATCGCCACTAGGGTATGTTCTGTTCGATGACTTTATCATCATCGAATTTCCCCACCCCCCCTGTTCCATGCAGAGGCCATAAAACATATCGAAGAGGCTGTCAACATGTACGCAGCCATTGGGCGCTTCTCCAACTGCGGAAAGTGCGAAAAGAACGTCGCGGAAATTTACGAAGATCTGTACGAATATGCCAATGCGTCCAAGTACTACAAAAAAGCGGCATACTACTTCGAAATGGACGAATATTCCAAGTAATCAGTCAGCTAGCTGTACAACTAGCCAAAAGGAGAAATAAAAAAAAAAAAAAAAGTGCACTTTGCCTTACCTGTTCATGCGAAAATGCATTTTAAGTGGCCCCATTATAGGCCCATCATTTTGTAACTGTTCCATAGGTCCGTCTACACGCAGTGCATCGTGAAGTACGCGGAGCTGAGTTCGCAGTACAGTGGGCAGCATGAGGAGGCCATCTCGGTAAGGAAGGAGGGGTGGTGTGGCGGTACTCTCCATGACGGTCGTGTGCAAATGGGAACATATGAGGTTTATCCATAGGGATGTACGTTTTTTGGTACGTACGCACATGTTTCTCCCCCTGATCTTTTCCCCGTGCAGATCTTCGAGAACGAAGCGGAGAAGGCCCTGAAGAGCACGCTGCTGCAGTACGGCGCGAGGGACTACTACATAAAGGCAGGCATTTTACACGTGGTGCTGGGGGACTTGGTCAACGCGAAAATCGCCATCGACAAGTACTGCATGAATGACCCACGTTTTTTAAATTCGAGGGAGAAAAAATTCCTGGATAATATTATCGAGGCTGTGACAGAACAGGACGTAGAATATTTCGAGGAAGTTGTGCACGAGTATGACCGCATCACGAAGCTGGACAAATGGAAGGTACACTTTCTTTACCACATAAAATCCAAGATGAATGCTGAGCCGAATGTCGAGTTGACGCCGGATGGGGCGGTGGACTTAACGTAGGATGGTGAGGCGCATTGCATTGCGGTGCAACGCAGTTTGTGATGATATAGGAGAAAAAACCCTTGAGCCTTCTTTTTTTTTTTGTGCAAGTCCAGGCGGAATAGCAGTGTTAGCTTTACTGCGAAAGCGCCTGGGACGTTTCTTTCCCCCCTCCCCGAGGAAGTCAATCCTCCTTTGTTAATCACTCTCCGGGGAGTCCCCCTTACCCACCTCTCATTATTCAGCCATTTTAAATTCTACAGTCATGTGGAAGGAAAAAAAAAAAAAAGAAAACAAAAAAAACTGCTCCATTTTTACGAAGCATTAACAAATTTTAATTTATGTCTTTACACGTTAAAAAAAAAGAAAAAGTTGTTCGTCATTTAACTTTGGGGACATTTGCGAAAGTGGAGGTATGCACGATGGCCTCATCAGAGGGGAAGGAGCTGTTCATCGCGCACTGCATTCGTCCAAGTAGAGGTGTCGAAAAAAAGGGCGTTCAAGTGGAGAGGTTAAAAAGGAGTTGGAGAAAGGCCCTCTGGAGGGGTGCTGCACACACAAGGGGGTACACAAACAAAGCGCTACACACACACACCGCTGCATCCCCCTCATGTGCGCTGTTTAGCTGATCACTGAAGCCCGAACTGCGGGACTGGGGCCTTCCCTTTTCCATTTTGAGCCTCGTTCTTCTTGAGGAGTTCCAGGTACACCTTCTGCTGTTCCTTTATTCGGACGAGGCTCCTTTGTATGAGTATCTGCTCCTGCAGCTTCTTCTTCAGCTCTTCGTTGCCTTTTTTTTCTAGTTCCATTTGTTTGGCAATTTCGTCTAGGTATTTATATGACCCGTAGGCATCACATGCGTTGTCCTTCTTCTGTTCTTTAGGGAAACCTGCACCGGGATGGAGGTGGCTCTCCCCCGCATTTGTGTGGTGCGCTCCTCTATGCTCTTCGCTTGTGCAACCACTGACGCCACTTCGTACCATGTTGTCACGTGGAGATATTTCAGAGTTTAGATTCTTTCTAGACATATATGCACATAAGACACGTCCTTCTTCCGTTTCACCATCGGAATGACTTGGTGACAATGTGAAGGTTTCCTCCTCCGGTAACGTGTGCGATTCGTTGCTTTCCCTTCGCATCGCATCTGAGTTTATCGTGTGAGCACTTCCGTGCAGGTAGTTGTTGGCGTCTCCCCCGTTGTCTTCCACACAGTTGGTGTCTTTGCGAAGGAAGACGCTTTGCTCTGATGTGTTTTTCCCTGACTTGTTTTGCCTTGGAACATTCTGGTACTCACGGAAGGGTTCCTCCGCGTCCGCCTCGTCGTCGGCGTCACCAGCGTGGTCAGCTTCGTCGCTGTCAACTTCCTCGTTTTCTTCTGCCTCCTTCGCACTGTCAACTTCTTCTTCTTCTTCCTCGACGTCACTTTCCTCTCCTTCTTCTTCTTCTTCTTCAATAGCCTCCTCTGCACTTCCACTTTCCTCTTCCTCCACCTCTTCTTCCTCCACTTCCTCCTCCGCTTCTTCCTCATCCACCTCTTCATCCTCATCTTTTTCCTCCTCATCTTTTTCCTCCTCCTCTTTTTCCTCCTCCTCTTTTTCCTCCTCCTCTTCTTCCTCATCCACCTCTTCATCCTCATCTTTTTCCTCCTCATCTTCTTCCTCCTCCTCTTCTTCCTCCTCCTCTTCTTCATCCTCCACCTCCTCTTCCTCTTGTTCCACTTCCTGGTCCACCTCTGCATCTTCATCTTCCTCATCCATTTCTTCATCCTCCACCTCCTCTTCCTCTTGTTCCACTTCCTGGTCCCCCTCTGCATCTTCATCTTCCTCATCCACTTCTTCATCCTCTTCTTCCACTTTCTCGTCCAAATCTGCATCCTCATCTTCCTCATCCACTTCTTCATCCTCCACTTCACTTTCTTCTTCGTTGACTTCACTTTCTTCTTCGTTGACTTCACTTTCCTCTTCGTTGACTTCACTTTCTTCTTCGTTGACTTCACTTTCCTCTTCGTCCACTTGTTTTTGCTCCTCTTCCGTCTCCTCTTCCCCTTCGGCACTTTCGTCCTCTTCTTCGTCCTCTTCCTCCACCTCCACTCCACTTTCCACTTCGTCTTCAATCTCTTCTTCTTCATCCTCCACGTCTACTCCACTTTCCACTTCGTCTTCTTCCTCTTCTTCGTCTACGTCACTTTCCTCTTCGTCTACGTCACTTTCCTCTTCGTCTACGTCCCTTTCCTCTTCGCCTACGTCACTTTCCTCTTCGTCTACGTCACTTTCCTCTTCGTCTACACCACTTTCCTCTTCGTCTACACCACTTTCCTCTTCGTCCTCCTCCTCCGCCTCTTCATCATCCTCCACTGCCTCCTCTTCGTCTACTCCACTTTCCTCTCCCTCCCCCTGCACCTGTTTAGCCCCCCCTGGAAGCACCTCCCTTGGCTGCAGCATGCTTCCCCCTTTCTTCTTAATTTCTTGGTTGGTTTCTCCGAACGAAGCTGAAAACCTATTCGTGCGGACATACTCAGATGTTCCACTCAGATCTGCGGGTGCGTTACGCATCGGTAAGGGTCTCCCATCCCAGTGTGTGTTTCCCAGGTTCTTTTCGTACTTCTCACTTGGGGTCATGAGATCATTTGTCGTTGTCCTTGGTTGAGTTATGAGAACGGCCCGATTATATTGCACCGCACTGGGTGCAGGAACAAAAGGGAGTCGTGTTTCTTTCTTTTCCAACTGGGTTATCATAGGAGGAAGTGTCCCAATCCTTCCTTGAGTTTGAGTAGTGATTCCGTTCACTAGAAAGGGTTGCTGGTTCGTTATGTCCACATGAGGAGGATTTTCTGGAGTCTTAACTTTGGAGGATACCTCGAGGGGCTTCCCCTGTGACATGTCCGTTGCATATTTATCGGAGTGACTTCCGTTTGTTCTCCTGGTCTCATACTTTTCGCTCTGGTACCTTTGGATGGAGGCACTTGGTGTGATCTTACTGTTGTTGAGATTGGCTCTACCGATGAGATCGCCTCCACGGATGAGATCGTCTCCACCGCTGGCATTGCCTCTAGCGTAGGGAACTCCCCATTTAGGGGCACTCCGACTGCTACATCGCGAGGCAATCCTTCGTAGCACCACATCTTCATCTTCCATCTCGCTCACAAATCTGTTAGCTTGGCCAGTCACGTAGCTAGCCACTTGCGGGGGAAGGTCCTTCTTCCCTGGATTGGCCACTTCGTCCCTCCTACTTGGAAGCGGCGCCAGAGAGTTTCCCATTACGAGTGGAAGATTCCTCTTTGCGACGTGCACCTCTATGCATCCTTTCGCAGCGCTTCCCCCCGGTGCGTCTCCGCTGGTGTCGAACTTCGGGGGGAGTGGTCCATCACGCCCATCTCTTCCATCTCGTCTTCCTCCTCCACTACCACGGTCGAAGCTGTCTCGTTCGCTTCGTTCATTTCGTCCATTTTGCCCGTTTGGTTCATTTGGCCTGTTTGGTCCGTCTCGCCCATTTTGCCAGTTTGGTCCGCCCCTCAAATGGCTCCCGTATCTCATGGGCTTCACGTGCAGATCCGCGACCCTACTGCACATGACTCCATTGCGCGTGAGGTAATATCCATTCACCTGTTTAGCACCCCTCGGAATGAACCCAATATTGCACATGCTTCCCCCGTTTTCCAGGACGTCCATGTTAGGGCAGTGGGTGGAGAAGCTCCTTCTACTGATGAGAGACATGTCCAAACAGGACCCATCTGTAAGAAGTGCGTTTGTTTGATTTGGACCGTTTGCTTGATTTGGTCCGTTTGTTTGATTTGGTGCATTTGATTGATTTGGTGCATTTGCTTGATTTGGGGCGTTTGCTTGATTTGGTCCGTTTGCTTCCTTCGGTGCGCTACCTATGGTGGTAGTCTTTCTCTGTTCATTCTTCACAAAGCCGGTCATGGAGGGAAAGACACAGCCGTTGGATCTTCCCAGGGAGACGCTTCCACATTGAAGGTTCTTCACGTAGCAATCGCTTGCACGTGTGTTTTGGTAACTCTTCCTGAAGAAAATGGGCACCTGACTACTTATCACATTGTTTGAGACCTTTTTGGAGCATGTCGCTATCTTTTTGTTCGATCCTTCCATCTTGTTTTCTCCACCTCGATCTTCTTTGCTCTTTTCGTTTGCTGTTTTTATTCCAAAAAAGCCCAGAATCATGCTGGTGTAGGACTTTCTGGCGGGTGGCTCCTTGTTGAGGGGTGATTCCTTCTTCTGTGCTTCATTGGTGAGGGGTTCATCGGGGGGTGCTTCGTTCTTCGGGATTTCCTTGTGGAGGGGTGATTCATTGGTGAGTGGTTCCTTTTTTTCTTGCTTATTGTTTGCTCCCCTCTTGTTTGCTTCCCTGTTGAGGGGGTCATTGAGAGGTTCCTGGGTAGAGAGTACCTCCCTCGTGACCCCTCCTCCGGGGAACCCTTTCGCTGGCCCCCCAGGGGCCGCATATCCGCACACGTCTACACACCCGCTTACACACCTGCCGGAGGGTAGCCCTAGCGAGACGTCACCGCAGAGAAGATCAGCTAGGGACTGTCCTCGCTGCATGCAATTCAAGTTCGGCTTCGAGACAGCACCAGGGGGGATGCTGCTGTCACGTCGGAAGTCTTGGTACTCCTTAGTGAACCCCTTATTTATAGGCAGCGTAGAAGCAGACACTCTTGAGGTCGCGGAAGAGGCACGCTGAAGGGATATGTTCTCACTCTGGTCAGGAGCACCACCCTCTTCTTTTTTAACTTCTTTGTGAGGGAGATGGTCCCACTCATCAGGTGGTTTCCTCGAGTTTAGGGGAAGATCGCCCATCATAAAATTGGTCTTGTTGGAAGGGAAGTTCGTTGTATCGGTAATATTCGTCCTTAGTCTAGTGAACCCATTTTCTCCATTCGAGTTGTTCTCATCACAGTGAATGGTAGTGGACCTGCTAGGCATTCTGCTGTTCTGCTGTGATGGCTCGTCAGGCAGATGAACCTGTTTCTTCGGACCTATTGGAGGCACTCCGCCAGGGGTTCGTGCGTACTTACTCTCCAGATGAAGTAGGTCTTTATCTGCACCCACTTCATTGTCTTGCTTTGGGGATTCATTCGGATCAGTGCCACCCAAGCAATTCATTTTGCTAAGGAAGGGGTCCATCGAACCCTTAATTGCAATGTTGTTGCAGGTGATGATGGGGAAGCACGTCGGATTGGTCACTCCAAACAGGTTCCTATTGAAGCATGTCACATTCGGCATGTTCGCTTTCCCTCTTGGATCTACATCGGAAGGGTTACCCTCACGATGGGAAACTGCGAACCCACCCTGTGATTCCTTCACATAGCCTATTTCGTAGGAGTTGAAATTTTTGCTCTGTTGGATCTTGTCTAACTTCAGTTTTGGGATAGGTATCACATTTTTGATCATTACGTAATTGTCCTGATTGGATTCCACCAAAGATGGCATCATCATCACCATGTCGTTTTTATCCTTTCCCGGTTTCTTCACCTCTTCTGTATCGTTCGTGGCGACTGGGAAGCTATATGTGGTGGGTCTCCTATTCATTTCGTTGTAATCGGCTTGATGGGAAACGTCTACTTTGTCTTCTGGACTATCAATCGGGGGTGATTTCACATCTGAGTAAGGCACTGTTTGGCCCTTCTCCACAAGGGTAGCTGCACCTTTGCTTTCATCTTTCTTTAAGATGGATTGGCGAATAAATTCATTTGCCTTCATCACCCCTAAGTAGGCATCTAGTACCTCCCCGACTGGATCTGTGTTGAGGGATGCACTTTCGACGCTGTGCTGACTGTCACTCTTTAGTGTGTCCACTTTCTGGGGGCAGAGTGCTACACTGGAGATCTTCCCGAATGCATTCTCTCTGGTGTGTGCGTCGTCTGTTGTGTTCCCCTTGACTGGGGTGGGGTTGTCCCCGTTTAGCATTGCCCCTTCTAACGGGGAAGCCTCCCTACTGAACATAAATTTATCACAGATGCTGCGACTTCTATCGCAGGAGAGGACTCTCCCCCCCTCCTGGGAAGGTTTCTTCAGAAGGGAAGAATCCCTGTGATGGTCCTCCCCATCTGCGAAAATGATCTTACTCCTGACGGTGTCTACAATGGCCTTGGCGTTAAAGTCTTCGGACATTCCAATATTGACGTTGCTTATATCGGGAGCTTTGAATCCACCAGACGGGTTCCTTGGCTCCTTTGCAACAAAGCAGCTGGGCTCAGATACCCCCGCGCAGTTGTTCTCCTTGGCAAAGTCGCTCACTCTCTGTATGTTGTCCCTCACGTATTGCTTCCAGTTGGAGAGGTAGTCCTGATGATCGTTCTGATTATGGTTCTGATTATCGTTTTGATTATCGCTCTGATTAAGGTTATCCTTTTCGTTGTGATTATCATTGTCGCTACCCTTATCGCTCCAGTAGCCGCTGCCCTTTTCGCCGCTGTTCCTATACACGTGTCTCCTTTTCAGCTTCAAATTGATGCATTCGTTCTGTACAACGTTGCACTTTTCACCTGCACAAGTCAGGTGATTTTGATGGGCGGCAGAGCCATCCTCTCTTTTGTAACTCTGGGAGACACACGAATTGGCAACCGGTTCCTCTTCACAATAAAACTGGGACTCCATGTACCCTACAGCATTGTCTCTCTTTGGGACGTTAATGAGGATTTCGTAGACTCGTGCAGGAGGAGATTCTTTCGTTTGCGAAGTTTTCGAAGTTTGCCAGGTTTGACAAGTTTGCCAAATTTGTTCTTTTTTATCTGATTTGTTCATAACTTTTTCATTCATCTGTGTGTAACTTTTCCGTTTAGGCATTTTTTCCAATGGGGATTTATCTTCCGCTTGTAGGAAGTGTTTCCCTGGTTCGCACCGATTTGTTGTGTCTTTCGTTAGGGAGGGATCCTTGTTTGTGTTACGGTGTTCCAGGGGGTTAGGGTTCCTCTCTTCCTTCGTCCCTTCTTTGAGGGGCGGGTAGTCCGTGCAGCAGAGGCCTCTTTTGACGTGCACGTGGTGGTCGTAATCATCCTCGTCGCTACTAGCGCTTCCGTTAGTTTGGTCGTCCTCGGAGAGCGCTGGGGACGGGTGTCTAACCAACGGGGCGACGCTACTCAACTGATTAATCCTATCCATCTGACTGTTGCTTCTCAGGTGAGTGGTTCTTTCCCCACGTGAGGCGCTCTTTCGGACGGATGTCCTGTTCTTCTTCGGGACCGCTTTACTGTTTAATCTGCTGATGGGTTTGGAGAAGGATATCCTCGAACCGCCCCCCTTGTGGCCGCCTCCCCCCTTGTGACAGCCTCCCACCTTGTGGCTACCTCCCCTGAGGCTGTCCTTCCAAGAGATCTCCCTCATTCTGTTCATCGAATTGCTGTAATTTCTCAGATTCTTCACCCAGGAGTAGTTCTCATTAAGGGGCTCAATATGATAGTGACCAAATTTTTTCTTGATGGATGAGTCCCTCTTTTTCGAGATGGAGATTTTCTCGTCCATGACGACGTCCCAGAGTTCCTCGAATGCGGCGTCGTCACCGTGGAGCCGCTCACTGGGCAGGTGATCACTGGGAAGGCGGTCACTGGGAAGGCGGTCACTGAGATGGTCTTCCCCGTGGAGTTCTCCTCCGTGTAGACATCCTCGTGGTACATTCCCTTGGCACGATTCACTCAGCTTATTCATCTTCCTCAGCTCGTTTAGGATGTTTAATTTTTCCAGTTTGTCCAACAGTCCCCTTTTGGACGATCTGGTCAGAGCGTTTCCCTCGGACATAGTTCGCTTCGCATTGGAAAGCGTCCTCTTTGTACCATCAATATCTCGCTTCGAACCCAGTAGAGACTTCTTCCCACTGTGGAGCGTCGTGCCCTCCCTTTTGCTGACCCTCTCTCTGGACCTCTCCTGATGAATACACCTCTGCGCACTTAGATTCTTGATGAATGACGAGACAGTGTGTCGCTCGAAGTTAGGAATGGCCTTCTTCAAATTCACACAGGATACCTGTCTCTTTAAATTGAAGCATTCGTGTTTTATCACTCTCCTGTTGCTCCACACTTGTGGCATGAGGTTACCTATGCTGAGGAAGTTACTTGTCCTGGAAGATTTGGTGTTACTTCCTCCATTGTGACTGTAGGGTGTGGAGAGGCAACCATATTGGTTCGCTTTTTTCTTCTTTTCCAGGAGTCCTTCTTCCGTTGGATACCCTTCATCTGTCCCTTTTGCTTTTTTTGACTTCTTTCTCTGAAGCGGATTATTCTGCTGGGTGGAGTAGGACGTCGGTTTCACTTCGTCACGCTTAACGTTGTTGGCTTCACTCACTTCCCCCGCTTCACCTGCTTCCCCGTGCTCGTAATAGTACAGGCAGTTCGCCCCGGAGGAACCGTCACCTTCGGGGGGGTCATTCTCAGGGGGATCACGAACGGCAGGCGCGCCATCGTAGAAGCAGCCTAGGTAATTCACGATGCGTCCCCTGGCACTGGTCTCTTCACTTGACTGGGCTGCCTTGCTAACGCCAACACTGCTAACTACGCCGCTCAGTTCACTCTGTGTTGCGTTCTCCCCGTTCAGCTTCGTCGTGATGCTGCTCCTGCTCCTCCTCCGCTGGTGCGTCCAGCCCTGTTCCTCGGCCAACCCTCCAGTTTTGCCTTTAAAATTTGTCACGAATTCACGGCTACCCACCTGTCTCTGCGAGCACGAACGGATAAGATCGTTGAAGCGGACTGAGTTCTTCATCTTCACCTTATCATGATGGACTGATCTGGACCTGCAGTTTTTAATGGCAGCTGTAGGAGAGCAACTCTCCCTCTGTGTCCCTTGCTTCCCATTTTTCCCATGCCATTTTTGTAACTTTTTTAGGTACTCCCTTTTTCTGACTATAAGATCGTCCGCTGTCTTTTGATATACATATGGCACGGTTTTCCATCGGTCGCACTTTTTTATCATCTCTATTTTTTCCATCTCAACATTGAAGATGTACGTTGCCATTTGCAGGGACACATCCTTGAGTGTCTGTATCTCCTTGATCTGTTTGTGTGCGGAGAGGAAGCTTTTTACGAGCGTGTTACGCGTGACTTGGGCATCGGGGTGATTCTGCACGCTGCCCCCTCGGGCGGCCTTCTCCCTCACGCTGCTTCCCCTGATGCCGCTTCCTCCCACGATGCTTCCCCCAACGCCACTCTTCCCATAGCGGCAGCTCAGAGCCCTCTGCTTCTTTTCCTTCTTTATGACCTCCTTTTTGTTCTCAATGAGATCCACGATGTTGTTGCAAAGGCTCATGGTGCACACATAGGGGGTGTAGCGGTGGTGGTCCCAGCACAGACAAGCGAGTCGTTCTGTCGGATAGCTGCGCGTGTCCGATGCCGTATACACAAGGGGTAGCGAAAAGGGAATCAAAGGGATAGAGAAAAAAATAATCTCAATAAAAATGCAAAGTGGAACGAGACAAACGCGTTCGACGACCCCATACAGACCGAGCGCAAGTAGGACCGGGTACACAATACACAGACGGGTAAAGTGGCTGCTCACGGAGGGGTGTGGTGGGGTTAAGAGAGTTACACAACAAAGAAGGGATCCCTCTCACGATGTCAAAGAGGGGAAAAAAAAAAAAAATTCTGTGAATAGGGGGGGTTTTTTTTTTTTTTTTTTTTTTTTATTTTTTTTTTTTTTTTTTTTTTTGTTTTTTTTTTCCTTTGTGTGTATTTTTTCTTTTTTTTTTTTTTTTTTTTTTTTTTTCAATGTAAACAAGTTTACCCCACGATTGGGGAAAGAATTTTTTTTTTTTTTTCTATTTTGGCTGAGGGGAGGGAGGTCTTAAGGTGCTTCTGTGTGGTTGTGCGGGCATACAAGGATGGGGGGGGCGAACATATGTGCATGAAAAGGCGAGAGCGTTACACGCCGAAGCGATTACACCATTACACCATTACACACCTGTGAGTTTTGAGCCTACCCGGTTAGGGCGAATGCACCGACGCACACGCCCGTAGTGCACGTTCGGCGAAGTTAGTGATGACCCTTTCCCTTGCGTTGAATGGTGATTTTGCAAGACGCGACGGAGGTGGGGCAGAGAACTCGTGGCGCGCATAGCGACCACTGAACAGACTGCGGGGGAGGTAGTGTACTTTTGCTTCGCACTTGGCGCTTCGCGTTTTTTGTTTGCCGTTGTTCTGTTTGGCTTTGCGTTGCTTTGCTTTTCTTTTCCTTGTCCTCCGTACGTACACACAGCGCATGCGCGGTTCGCTCGCCCACCCTGATATTCCCCCCAATTCGCACATGCGCACAGGAAGCGGGCGAATGGAAGGTGCATAACCGCGTGTGGAAGTGATTAGGGAGTTAACGGGTTAAATGAACAGATCGAGAAGTGTTTTTCTTTTCTTTTTTTTTTTTTTTTCCTCTCGCAAACAGTGTTGTGTCACTCCGTCCTTCCCCTGCACATCGTGTGCAGAGGGGGCCCCATGAAATATCTCCACGCATGGGGTAGGCTACACATGCACTGATGTGCAGTTTGGGGGAAACAGGAAAGGTTAAAATGCACAAGCAGAATGGAAAAGGAGACTGGAAAAGGAGACTGGAAAAGGAGAATGGACGAGGAAAATGGACAAGAAAAATACACACACATGTATGTATGTACCAGGAGAGGGCAGAAGTTGCTTCCTCATTGTTGGCCCATCTGCATGGGAGAATACGAAAAGAAAAGGAGACCCCCACATGCTTTGTTCTTCTCGGGCGGGAAAATGATCAATTGGGGGCCAATATTTTGGCGAGAAGACTAGGGAGAGTCACAGTCACTTTCACAGACACTGTCACAGCATCAACCTCAGGTGTGTCCGTTTAGTTCGTAAGGCCCCTCTTGCAGTGGGGACACTGCATGGAACATGCGTTCCTGGTAGGTGGATACCACCTTTCACTACGTCGTGCATCGCAAAGAGGGAGTAACCCGGTAACTCTGCAGTGCGCATATCGCATGCTTGACCACAATAGAGGAGCATGGCGAGATGTTCACCCGCTACTCAATCGTGATCGCGAAGGGATAAAAACAGAAAGGGGCAGAGTAGTCCTGACTGCAATTTCAAATGGGGCAGACGTGAGCAAGCGGTCTACAAACAGGCCAGGGATGGACACTCCACCATGAGCAGCGCAGCCACGCTGAACGTGCAGAAGGGGTAAGGCTGCATAAGGTAGCCTACTTTCAGTGTAAACTCCTTTTTCCATTAGCGCCGCGGGGTGAGAACAAGCTGTTTTCGTCGCCAAAAGAAAGGGTCTACCCACTCGTAGGGGGGGGCATTAAAATCGTTTGGCCCATTCACAGCTTAATAGGGATGACCAAAGAGGGGGCGGCTGCTTGCCTTTCCTTAGTGTCGCTTCTTTTTCCCCGCTACAGTTTCATCCGGCAGTTGGGTTGAGCGATACTTCATTGTACAGCGACCTGGTCAGGCGAATTCCGCATGTAACTCCTTTTGTAACTCCGTTCGCGGGGAATGGCTTCGTCCTCCCGCTGCTGCTCCCCCCTCGCGGGAATGTTCAAATGTACGAAACGGTGCACACCTATACCAAGGTATTATACTCCCTCCCCCAGGCACGTGTTCCGCCTCCGTTTTGACCTCACCAAGGAGAGTTCCAAAGGTGCAGAGAGAAAGAGAGATAAAGAGAAAGAGAAACAGTGGGAACCACACGGATGAAACTTTTTTTTCCCTTTTCGACTGATAACCCCTGTGGCTTAAGTTCTCCCCTCCCTCCCGCTGGCTCCTTGCATAGCTGCTTCGTCGACATGGTCACGAAGAGAGCACCCTGACGGTTCCCTCTAACGTGTGGCGGGTTGCCCACCGACGTCCGCTTCGCTCTTCCCCATTAAGCTACTCCCACTTGGCCCATTCCGCTTCGTCCATCCCACTTCTTCCATCCCGCTTCTCCCCCCTTGCGGCGATTATGCGACCCCCTCGAACGGAAGCATGAAGGCGCTACTGCTCACCAGCGTGATGTACGTCCTGTGCCTTCCAGCCATATGGGGATATGTGGGGGACCCGAAAATGCAGAAACTGACGGTGGGCGGTGTCTGCAGCCAGCGGAGAAATTCAACCCGCAAGGCGAACCTCTTCAAAACGAAATTGCAAAGCGATTTTAACTACGAGGGTAAGAGGTATTACAACAACAGACCCATGACAGGGGAGAAGTCTCTGAACAGAATAATGCTCATAGGACGAGTTGGATGCGAACCAGATATAAAGATCTTAAATGGAGGAGACAAGGTTGCTACGTTCAGCTTGGCAACTAATGAATTCTGGAGAGACAGGAATACAAATGAATTGAAGTCCAAGACGGACTGGCATCGCGTCGTGGTATATGACCAGAACATTGTTGACCTTGTGGATAAATTTTTACGAAAGGGAAGGAGAGTATACATCCAGGGGTCGCTACACACGAGGAGATGGTTCGGCAATGATCTGACTAATCAGCCGAGACAGATAACTGAAGTGGTCTTGTCCTACAATAAAGGCGATTTAATATTTCTGGATGACAAGCGAAATTTTATTTCGCGAAATGTTTCAAATGTGCAGAGTAGTGAAAGTACCAGTTCAAACAGCGAAGCGAATGTTGCCAGCAGTTTGGGGGGAAACTCCGACGAAGGGGTAACTCCATCGAACAGTCACAGTGATGGTGGTGCGGAACAGGATGACTTTGCACACGGGTTGGACGGCGCTCCTGCAGAGGGGTTCGATTCGCTGGAAGACGGCCTCGAGAAGGAGGAGGGCATCTATGACAAGATGAACTCTCAGGAGTTTGACGAATGACAAGTGGTGAAAATGGAAAAGGCGTAAGTCTAATTCTACCACTTCTGGCATTTAAGAGGGATGCTCAGCCGTTGCCCCCCCAAGCATAGAAAAAAGCTTCTTACCTGGCGAGCTAGCCAATCTGTCATATTTTTTTTTTTTTTTTTTTCCGTTCAGCCAGGAGAAGATGTGAAAGTGTCTGTGCAGACAGGCCGATTTTTCCACCCTTTCCACCTTTTTTTTTTTTTTTTTCTTTCTCCTCATTTGCGTAACCGTGACCACAGCATGAGTGAAGGTTTCCCTGGCAAGATAGGATCGCCTCCCCCCCAGCGTTCCGCATTTGTCCCGTGCACACTGTTTGCAACTTGGACGGGGAAAGCAACATGAACTGTTCAGAAATGAAAAAAAATAGCAGAACATAGCGTAGAAAAACGTAGCAGATCGTAGCAGACGTAACAGGACGTGGTGTAGCGTACCCCCTGCGGGAGCTAGCCATTTTATTTTATTATTATTTTTTTTTTTTCTGAACAGTTAATGTCGTTTTTCCCGTGCAAGTTCCAACCGGTGTGCAACCTATTTGTATGCAATTGGCGCCATGCGTGTGAAAGTGCCCGCCTTTGGCTGTCCTCCCCCGTTATTTATTTATGTTTTTTTTTTGTTCCACCGTGCGTGGTCCTTTTTTAAAAAAGCCAACCAAAAATTGTGTCCACGCGTGGGCGTTTGTGCAGCCCCGGTTTGAAGCCCACCTCAAACGTACGAATGTGTGTGAGAACAACGACTACTAAGCGGGCTGCCGAACGGTATGCTAAGCAGCGTGCTAAACAATCTGGTGAACAACTCAAAGGGACTCCTCCCTTCGAGGATTAAAAGGAATGTTTTGAGCCAAACGGTGGAGAAAGAAAAGAAAAAAAAAAAAAGCACAACAACGGCGTTTTCAATGTTACGCTAAAAATGGGGAAGTGCCAAAATGGACGGGAAAAAACGCCCCAGAGAAGAGAAAGGACAGAAAAATATGGGCACGTGTGGAAAGGTCAAAATGTAGGCGGAGTGGCAACTCGGCATGCCCCAGTCAGCGGCATGCATGCTAGCCCATTTAATGATAAAAAAAATAGAAAAAAAAATGGCCAACTAGGTGGAGAAACACAAACGAAATGGCTACAAAGTGAACTACCTGATGATGTCTCTGCCATGTGTTCACAATGAGTGTGGTAATTCCCTCCATATGGTCCAATCCGTGTTGTGCCTTCCTGCACATGTCTCTTTCTGGTCACCCCTTGCGGTGCCCCTTCATGTTGCTATTCTGCAGTAACTGATTAATCAGCGACGTTAACTCGTTGTGCGCAATCTGCACCTGGTTGTAGTTGGACGCGGTGATTTCAATGTGTAGCGGTTTGGCGTCCAGCAGGAAGGTGGTCTTGTTTGGCTGAGTGGGGTTAAAGTATTGGCCCTTTATCTGGCACCTTGAACCAGACATGTCGGAAATGCGAGAGAGTACCTCCCGGTTGCATACCTTCAGCCGCACATGCTGCGGATAATCATTAATGTAGAACTCCTGCATGATAGAATTGTCCTCCATAACATAGGTGTGTGGAATGAAGGGAGAATATTTTTTCATATTTCGTGTCCTCATCGAATTTAGAAGCATATTCCTATGAATGTTTTCCGTTTTGGAGTTACTCTGCAGCTTGGCGTCGGTTAGTCTTTTCTTCACGTCTTGCTTTACTTTGTTAAAGAGTCGCTGTCTCTCCGTTTCATCCTTTATGTGTTCGGTTGCTTTGGCGGCCTCCTGTTCGGCCATTTTCTCTATGTCGGCTTCCTTTGTAGCGTCTGCATTTTTTTTGAGGGTGCTCTGCTGCTGCGCCATGAAGTTGTAGGTCTTCATCAGCTCGTTTATCTGCTTCGCCTTTAGTGAGAGGTCCATGGTGTCGTTCATTTTGATCCTCTGTATTTCCAGTTCGATTCGTTTTATTTCGCTTTGTGGACTGGGCTCTCCCGGGGGGGGTGGCGGTTGTGGCTGCCTCTGTTGCGGTCCCGTCTGCTTTAGTGGCGCACCCGTGTGGGGAGTTCCATGTGGAGGAGCGATCCCCCCTGGCATGGAAGCTTCCCCCGCCGCCGCTGTTCCCGCTGTTCCCGCTGATCCCGCTGTTCTGTCGACTTCCCCGTCGGAGGCGTCCCCCCCTGGAGGGTTGTCCACCCCCCCCTCCTTGTCGCGCACCAAGCCGAGTTCCCTCTTGGCATTGGCCTTATCCATCTGAAGGCGAGACTTCTCATTCGGAGTAAACTTGAACCCCTTGCCCTTGTAGCCCTTCTTTCTAACCTCAGCAAAGTTACTGCTTTGAGTATATTCCCGAACGAGCTCTTCCAGCTCTCTCGGAATGTCAATCGTTTTGTTCATATAATATATGTTGTTCTTAATGAGGCTGTATATATCATACGCCTTGCCCTGTTCCTCCGGGGTCACAAAGGTGTAGGCATACCCAATTTTGTTAGATCTACCAGTTCTACCAACACGATGAATGTAATCTTCTATATGATCAGGACACTCATAATTAATAACGACGATGATGTCCTTTATGTCGATACCTCTTGCCATGACAGAAGTGGAAATCAGAATCTTGTTCTTCCCTTCTTTGAAGGTCTGGAGAGTGAATTCTCTATCGGCTTGATCCTGCCCCCCATGCAGGACTAACGTCTTATAATCATACTTAAATAGTTCTAAGTACAGAAGATCCGCTTCTAACTGCTTGTTTACAAAAATGAGGATCAATCCGTAGGTAGCCCAGTCTCCAAGAAGCTTTAGGAGCCTAAAAATCTTCTGTGTGACTTGTAGGACCTCTACAAACTGATATATGTTATTGTTCGTTTTTCCTTTCTCCCCGACAATAATTTCGATTGGTTTGTAAAGCAACTTCTTGGCTAGACTCTGGATGTAAGTCGGGAAGGTAGCAGAAATCATCGCCGTCTGTTTGTCTTTCCTACAATTATTTAATATGTTATGTATTTGAGACTCGAACCCGAGATCTAGTAACCGATCCGCTTCATCCAAGACGACAAAGGAGACTCTATTCAGATTAGTAACCTTACAATTACTTATCGTTAGTATATCAATAATACGACCAGGGGTACCAACCAGTATTTCTACTCCTCTCTTCAGTGTGTTTAATTGTGTGCCAATATTTGACCCCCCATAGACAGCCAAGATTCGGAGATTCACCGCTTGACAGTAGGGCCTCGCTTCACTCTTCACCTGCTTGCTTAGCTCCCTCGTCGGAGTAAGTATAATGGCGATTGGTCCGTCATTATTTCGAAGGGGTGGTTGGTGAAGCACGTGTCTTATCAGTGGAAACAAATACGATAGCGTCTTTCCACTCCCCGTCTCAGCAATGGCGATCACGTCCCTGCCACACATCAAGGCTGGGATTGTCTGCATCTGTATGCCAAACATTTTTTTAAAATTTTTCTTCTCCAAGATGGGTAAGATTCTAGATGGCAGTCCACATTGGTAGAAGTACTGTACTGGCCGTGGACAGTTCTTTCCCCTGACGATTATGTTTCCATTGTTCTTCCGAAAGAGATCCACGTCACTCTCTTTCATGTTTGTGATCTCGCTTACCTGCACGTAGATGTTTTTTTTTATCGGCAGGTACTCCACCTGGTCCCGGTTCACTTGAAGCAGCTTCTTGTTCGTTTTCTTTAGAGCATTCGTTTCGATGTTATACTCGCTGTCTTCGCTAAGGTTTTCGATGGGCTCGCTGCTCCCTTCGCTGTTCAGTGCGTTGATCTCTTCGTCCTTCCCTTCGCCGTTCCCTTGGCCGCTCCCCGCATTGCTCCCTCCTCGACGGGGTGCCGACGCCCCTCTGCCCTCGCCTTCCTCCTCGGCTTTCCTCCTCAGCGCTTCTATGAACAATCGGTGGTATTCCTCGCCGTTCTGGTCGTCTTCCAGATCGCCGCTTTCTGGCGGCTGCGTATCGGTTTGCTGCACCTCTTTATCGACTTCCCCCGAATCGTCGGCCACTCCGGGGGGCTGTTCCTCTAGGTGCTTTGCTCCCCCCAGGTGCTTTGCCCTCTCGAATCGATGCCGGTTCGCTTCGTAACTGTAAATCTCCTCCAATGTTATGGCCTGGTTGGGGCCCATCGCCTCTCCCTCTTCGCCCGCGCAGTTCCTCTCCAAGTTTCGCATGAACACTTCGAGGGGATCCTCCTCATTATCCTCCGCTGCAGGCGATTCCGTCGCGGGTGATTCCTCCGCGGGATCTTTTGCGCCGTCTCTCCTGCTGGGAGAATTGGAAATCAGGTCCCGACGTGTGGCACTATCCTTCTTCATCTTCTCCTCCTGCTTCTTATCTCCCTCCTTCAGATTCCACTGCTTATTCACCTGCTTCTTATTCTCCTCCCCCTCCTCAACATCCTCTTCGTCTTCGTCTGGCCCTCCCCCCCCAAACACATCCAGGTCAATCTTCCTGCTGGCGCTGTTGACGCCCGTGTTAAGCGTAAACTTCGTGGCCCTCGCGCCGGCCTTAGGGTTCGCCTCATCGCTGCCCTTTTTCTTGATCTTCTCCGCGAACTGCTTGAGTCGCTCCAGCCTGGAGAGCTTCTTTTCGTCTTCTCGGTCTAGCTTGGCCCCCGCTTCGACGGCGGTAGCGGCAGTAATGACCGCTGCTCCATTTTTTTCTCCCCCCTTGGGTCGTTCTCTATCATCACCCTCATTGCTTCCCCTTTCCTTTTTATCGTTTTCCCTCCTTTTTTGCACCTCCTTCGGGCTGCTTCCTCTTTCCTTCCTTCTGTGCACCTCCCTCCCTGTGCTGGTTCCCTCGTCCGACGATGAGTCGACTTTTTTTTTTTTTTTCTCTTCTTCTTTTTCTCCTTTGAGTCCTTCTCCGAGAAGCTGCTTCCCTCGGAGGATTGCTGACGACGGAGGTCTTCCCGTCTGCTCCTTCTGTCACTACTTCCCTCGTCGCTTCTATCGTCACTGGTGTTGCGTTTCCTTCGCCTCCTCTTGTCCCCACGACTCTCCTTCGCTTCGTATTTATCCCTCTCGCGCTGCGCCCTCTTTGCCGCAGCGTCCTCTGGGTGCCTTCCGCTGCTCACTCGGTGCCTGCTTTTGCCATTTCTGCGGTCGTAGTGTTTGTCTTCTTCGTCGCTGCTGTGGGAGATGTGTTCTTTCTTCTTGGTTTTTTTGGGGCGCTCCTCGGGGGACCTGTCTCTGCGGCGGTCCCGCTCGCGCTCTCGTTCGTAGCCTCGTTGGGAAGATTTTTCACCTTGTCGATCGCGTTCTTTGTTCCGTTCTTTGTCCCGTTCTTTCTCCCGTTCTTTGTGCCGTTCTTTGTTCCGTTCTTTGTCGCGTCCTTTCTCGCCTTCTTTCTCGCCTTCTTTCTCGCGTTCTCTGTTGTGCCTTATCCGGTCTCCCCACTGCTCCCTCAGGCGCTCCCTATACGATTGCATCTCCCTGGCAAAGCTCGCTTCCTCCTCCTCGTCCTCCTCCACCGGTTTGGCTCCTTTGTAGGTCCCCTCCTCGCGGTGCTCCTTCTTCCTTTCATGGTTATCATACCCACTGTCGCTTCTCTTCCGCTTGCTGGTACTAGAGATGCTGCTGTTCCTGTCTTTTCTGTAACTCTCGTAGTGATCACTCATCCTTGGGCAAGTCTACATCGGAGGCGTCACAATTGTTTGGGAGAGGTCCTCGTCACATGGGCGTGTGTTTCTTTTCCCTTGGGTGGTGGGGGATGCTTTCTCTCCTGCTAGAAGAGGCGAGCATGCAGAGGTACCTCCGAACTGCCAGACGCTTAAAAACAATCAGTTGAAAAAAAAATCGCGACGTTTTGATCACACGTCCGCCACGCGGTGCGAAAATCACCTTCCCAGGCGGCTGCTCAGGTGCAGGAGTCAGAACAACACACAACACAGCCTCGGTAACACGGGCCGACGCCACTCCCTTCGTCGGTCACCGTACACATGTTGTTTGTGAGAATCCTTCGTGCAGTTATGGGAAAGCGCATAAGAAAAAAAAAATAGAATAGAATAAAATAAAATACAAAAAAAAAAACACCTTTGTGTGAATAACCATACAGGGGAGGTAACCCCTAAGTGACATGAGATATGACGTAGTTTTCCAACGGGGACTTCTCATGTTATCCCACATAGGGTTATCTTTGTTTTCCGTTCCTGCCTTTTCTCCTACTTGAATAAAGAGGATGATAGGATAATGGTGCCATATATTCCTGCGAGCTCAGGGGTATACTTGTAGGAAACATCTTTCCTCTCCGTCGCGCGGACCTTAGTGTAGTCAGTTTTTTTTTTTCATTTTATTTTTTCTTTACGTTGACCGCTACCTCCCGTCGGCGCAGCGCAGACTATATTACTATTTTTTATCTTCCTCCCCGCGAGGTCGTTTTTCACGTCGGCATGTAAAAGAAAGAAGCAAGCCAGTTGATTCACAAAGGAACATGGCACCAACACGTGTATGAAAACTGCAGAACGTTGCGGTGTGGTATTTTGGCGCCTTCCAGGGGCGGTAAGTGACACTACATAGAAAAGAAGCAAGCGAAAAAGGAAAAATATATATAACTAATAAGGATGTCATCCTTTGATAGAACCTGCTTCCTATCTCAAATAAAAAAAAAAAAGTGCAAAGAGAAAGGACACCCTCTTTCACCACTCCGATGTATGCTTCTTCCCGACGTGGCATTATTTATATATTGAGCACATTTGGGAATTTTTTTTCTTTTTTTCTTCACCTGGCAACAAGGTTAAAAGGGGAGAGTTGCCTTTTCTGTATATCGACAAAATGGTCCAGAGGAGAAAGTTGCACAAGTGGCAGTAGAATGAAGACGCCACACCAACGATGAGGAAGAAGCAATTTCATTTTGGTGACTCCACGTGAAATATACAATTCGTCTGGACTCCTTTTTGCTACGTTGTTCTCATCAGACGGAAAAAAAAAAAATAAATTACTTGACAGATTAGCAGTTTGCCTTTGCAGCTTTGCTGAGAAATGAACAGCAGGGGGGGTAGCGTTGGGAATGGAGAAAGGGCCACCCACATCCTTCCGCATCCCCTCGTAAAAAAAAAAAGAACACACAACAAGCAATCCCACATAAGGAGCAAATACACACAAAAAGCAATCCCACATAAGGAGCAAATACACACAAAAAGCAATCCCACATAAGGAGCAAATACACATAAAAAGCAGATCCACACCAAAACCAATTGTACAGGATTGTCGACACACTTAACACAAAAAAATGAATTAAATTTAAGGGGAGAAAACATTACATGTGTACACACCGCGAAAAGGACTTGTCAGTTGCCGAACGGGGGGGAAGTCCGCAGATGGACGCTGCGCTCGTTTCGCACGTCGCCCGTGTTCTTCGAAGTCTGCCCAATCGGCTTAAACATTACAGACAAATGAGAGGTCCCACGGGGGAGGGGAGAGGATCCGAAAGAAGGGAACATCACCACTCGGACTCACCCCTGGTTGGCCTTTTACAAAAATGGCACTGCACCAGTTTCTTCGTTCCTTCGGCGTGGTTACATGTATCCTTCTGGTTGATGGCTCCGAGCTTCTCCTCCGCTCCGCTGACCTTTCCACAATGACCCCCTTTTTGCTTCCCCGCAAATGCTCACGAGCTTGATGAGCTCCTCCTGTGCCGTTTTCCCCGCACACTTTCCTCGTACGTCTCTGTTGTCCTCCTTTTCCTCTTTTCCTTCTTTTTCACGTTTGGTTTGTCGCTGTCCCTGCTGCTGTGACGACGGCGTTCCGCTTTGTCCTTCCTCGTCCGTTTTTCGTGCTTGCGGGATCGCTTCTCTTCGTGGGTTCGTTTTTCCCGTTTGTGAGACCGGCTCTCCTTTCTATGCGACGATCTCTCCTTTCTGTGCGACCGGCTCTCCTCTTTCCAGGATCGACCCTCCCGTTTGTCCCTTCGCTTTTCGCGCTTTCGCCTCCTCTTCTTGTCCTTCTCCTTCTTCGTTTTCTCGCGGGCCGAGTCCCGGCTGTCGCGCGTACCACTACTGCTGCGTTCGCCACTACTGCTGCGTCCGCTACTGCTGTCGCTCCCATCATCACTACTGCTCCCGTCGCTACCGTCGCTATCGCTGACGATGCCGAGGTTGCGGCGCTCCTTCAGGTCATCCTCCGCCTCCTCCTTTATATCACTCTGGAAGTTTAGCTTTTCCAGGCTGATCAAATTTCTGCACTGGTACGGCAAGTGGCCTATGTGGTTGCAGAGGGTACACGCCCCGGGGATGGTAGCGGAAGCAGTGCCGGTTAATCTCGCTAGACTAAACAGACTCTTCGCCTTCTCATTGATTTCTTCATTCGTCTCTTCTTGTTTTTTCAGCTCTCTTTTGTTTATCTCCTCCACGGACGCATAGGGGTCATACCCAACTGAATTCTTCCATATGTCCGACGTCTTGAGAGAGGCCGAGACGGGGAGTCTGTTGTCAGGGGGCATCCTGACTCTCCCAGCTTTGCTTGGCATGCTTCAGAGCACAGGGAGGAGGGGAAAAGTGAAGAAAAGAGAAGAGAAGAGAAGAAAAGAGAAGAAAAGGTGGACTAGCCCTGGAGGAGTTTTATGTACCCCCTACATGATATCTCCTCGGTGCGGGAACTCTCGTTCCGCAATGCTAGCGGAATTTCCTTTCTCTCTTCTTTTTTTAAAACATAGAGGAATGTGAAGAAGGCGGCTTCTTTGACGAGCATAACTAGGCACTTGCTCGTCCTGGGATGGGGAAGCATTTTTTTTTTTCTTTGGAGGTACCCACTGTCGGGGTGCGCAGAGGGCAGTATATGTATGCATAATACATGTACTTCTTTCTCTGTTCTTTTTTTTTCTCTCTCTCTCCTGTGAAGGTTAACGACTTGGTGCGAAAGGAAAATCCGCGGGGAGAAAAAATCGGCGCGTTCTTCCCGCGCTGGGGAGGGGGGGCATGTGTGTTGCTCGAAAAGGAGAAAGAAGAAAGAACAAAGAAGAAAAAAAAAAAAAACAGGCAAATGTGCCAATTTGCGTGAACGTATGCATAGGCTCACGTGTATTTCTTTGTTTTTTTTTTTTTTTTTTCTTCTTTGTTCTTTCTTCTTTGTTGTTTCCTTTCGCCTTGCCCACGAAGGACAGTTGGAAGGACTAGACAAAAATGGGATGAAAAGAACCATGTGCCGGGCCATCACAGCGGGAAAGCGAACTGGGCCACAGAAGTTAACTTCACTGAGAAGGGACAGATTGGGTTGCCAGTCAGCCTTTTGAGTGACCGCTTCAGCAACCGCTTCAACAGACAGACGTACTTCCCCGTGTGGAGAGATGAGAAAGGCGCAAAGATGAATGAACAGGGCGAAGAGGAAAGAGAACCTGAGAAATATATTTTCAGTTTCGTGCAGAAATTGAGTTCGGGGCTGGACCATTTCGCATGTGTTGGGTACCATCAGAACAAACCGACGGTGTTTTGCTGGGGAGGGAACACGAGCAACCAGTTGGGGGTAGGAATCAACACAAGGGAATGCAAAGTGCCGACTCCGGTGCCATTCTTCGAAGATCTTTTCGTCACCTCCGTGTGCTGTACCTATTACTGTACCTTCGTTTTAGCTAAGAAGAACGCATTCGATGTCGGGTGTTCTGTATACTCCTTCGGGAAAGGAAACAATGGGTTGCTGGGGTTTAGGAAGAAGAAGATTTTTGTTTCCAATCGTGGAGAATCGAATGTGGGGGGGAAGGAGAAGCTATTGCGGAAGATCGACAAGAAGGTGGGCCAGACGTTGTTGGACGCGTTTGGGGTTAGGAAGGGGAGGGAGCCATCTCCCTCATTGAGCGATGGTGGTGATGGCGGCGCAGCTGACGATCGTAACGATGGTAGCCATCATAGTGGGGATGGCTTGCTCCACTTTGACGCAGACAACATTTCGAGTGAAGAGGGTTCCGCGGGGGAAGCACCACGGGTGAAGGACCCCTCCCAGGCGTTGACTCAGGGTGCTTCCCCCTCGCAGGCGTTGAGCCGAGGTGCTCCCCCCGCGGAGGAGCAGGCGGACTGGTTTACCCCCATCCCGATGAAGGTGAAATTTCGGGAACCCACGAAGATTATGTTCATATCCTGTGGGGACATGCACACGCTGGCAATATGCACGAGGGGGTTTCTTTACGGCTGGGGCAGCAACGCCTTTGGATGCGTCGGGAATGGGACCAACACGAATGTGTACGAACCGGTTCGTATCTTTCTGGACGGAAGGGAAGAAGCGGGTGTAGCTGATCTGTTTGGAGGAGGTGGAGGGGGGAATCGGCCATTTGGCAATCCTCTCCATGGGAGGAGGGGACCAAAAGAAGACTTCATTATTCACTGCTCCGCCGGAGGACAGCACAGCATGGCGTGCACACTTCGTGGGGACATATACAGCTGGGGGTATGGGGCAAACGGGAGACTCGGCCTCGGGAACATTCAAAGTTACAACAAACCACAGTTGGTGAAGACGTTCCAAAAGAGGAAGAGAATCATTTATGTCTGTTCAGGGAAATCTCATTCAGGATGCATAGATGCAGAAAATAATGTGTACACATGGGGGAGTGGAAAATACTTTAAGCTCGGTCATGGAGATGAGAACGATGTGCTGAGTCCGAAGAGATTAGAACATCTGTGCCGCTCTCGTAAGACCTTCATGCTATCTTTTGGCACCTTCAATTCGTTAGCGTTAAGTACAAAGGGGGATGTCTTCCTGTGGGGGGTTTTTACTGAACTAAAAAGGGGGTCCTCTTCTTACACCTGTAAGGTGCCTAAGAAGGTCAACACGTATTATAAGTGCCTCTCTGTTCATGCATCTGTGTACATGTCAATGGGGGTGACTCTCGTGGGGGACCTAATCGTGCTGGGAGATTGCAGTCGAGTCATCGCACTTGGGGGGAGAAGTGGCCCTTCCAATGTACTGTCAAGGAGGAGCCATGTAGGGGGGGAGGAGTCCGACTCGGGAGACAGCAACCTCGATGTGGTGAATCATCTCATTGGAGGGGAAGCAAAAAGCAGCGATCAGCCAAAGGGGGGCGACGATTTCCCAGTTAACTACGTCAAAGAGTTACGGGGGAAGATCCACATTAAGGATATCCTCAGAACGTTCTACATGCTGGATAAGGAATCTTTCCCGCCTAAGGGGAGAGACAAAGCATGGTATGGACAACTGACGTGGGATGAGCACACGGAGGGCCTCTATGCTGATGCTGCAACAGAGGGAACGTTTCCAAACAAAGGATTGATCCTACGGTCTAAGATTAAAATGATTGATGGCAGTGAACACTTTAGTGTGTTCCTTTTGCAAAGCGGGAAGGTCTACACATCTGGAGCTAATAAAAATGGAGAACTAGCAAATGGAGAGTACAACTTAGGGAAGAAGTTTTCCGTCCCTGTTCCGATCGAAGTGTGTGTTAATAAGATTGTCAAAATAGCGTGTGGATACAATTACACCTTGGCCTTAAACGAACGGGGACTTCTCTACGGATGGGGGAAAAACGAAAAAAGTCAACTAGGCATAGGAGTAATAAAGGATTGCCACGAACCGGTGCACTTAAAATCGCTAAGCAAAGTTATCGATGTGTATGCGGGACATGATCACAGCGCTTGCATAGTGAATAGCTGGTTTGATGAAGATCGTCCGAAAGGGGACTCTCACGATCCTAACATCGAAAATGAAACCCTCTTAGAACTGGGAGAGCTATACACGTGGGGAAACGCAGAAAGCGGGAAGGTAGGACTCGGCATGGACTACACACAAGGAGCGATCCTCCTGCCAAGAAGAATCAACTTAACGAACAAGGTGCATAGATGCTCCCTAGGAAACAGTCACACGTTAATCCTAACTGATTCGAATGAGCTCTACGCATGTGGTAGTGCAAACAATGGGAAGTTAGGTTTAGCAGATGGTAGCATAAGTTATATGGTGAGTTCTCCAAGGCAGGTTCACATAGATCCCAGCATCTACATCAAACAGGTCGTAGCAGGATCGACCTACAGCATGATACTCTCCACAGACGGGTTCATTTACACATGGGGAGAGTTTCTAAAAAATGAAGTATCGTCTGCCGTCCCAATGTTGTATTCTCAAATAAGCAACGTGAAGCAGATCATCGGTGGGAAGGATAGATATGTCCTGTTTCATACGTGTGACAATAAACTCTTCGGATTGGGTGACAACACACACATGCAGATAGTGCATGACGTGAAAGAGACGAACATACGTGGGAGTCCCAAGCTCATTCCATACTTCCTTCGAGATAGAAGCATAGAAGCAGCTTACTCATTTAAGAACGCCTCGTTCGTGCAGCTGGAAGGCACCCACGATGTGTTTGCCTGGGGGTACACGTCCAACTGCCACCTGGGCATCGGGGTGATGAAGGCCACGCATTTGAAGCAGCCCAAGAAGGTCGTACAGACGTGGGTCACCTATGAGGAGGGGGAACGAGGCGAACACAGTGACAACAACAACGACGTGGCAGCAGAGCAGGGTCTACTAGACGGCATGTTCAATCCCCCCTTTAACGACGGACTCGCGGACGAAGTAGAGCTCGTAAGAAGGAGAGTTCTCAAAAGGGCACACTACGAGGATGACCTAGTCTGCGGTGCCGCTTACCACCAAGAAGAAGTGGAGAATATGATTAGACAAATACAGATGATGCCACATCTTCTAAACTGGGAAGAAATTCAAGTGTTCCTAAAGAAGGAAAAATACACGAGCAGCATTCAGTATGTCCGTTCTTTCGAGAGAGACCTAATCGATATGTATACGAAACATATGAAGGTTCTCCTAAATCTGCACTCTCTGGAGAGAAATTACAACGAATTGCTTCTCAGTTACCAGCACTACGTCCTCTCAAATGTAGTGTTCCTCGGCGAGGAGCGCCCTACCATCATGTTCTCCGAGCACACACACATCTTAGATTGTAACCGGGACAAATTGCAGCGATTCGTCTACATACTTCAGCAACAGCCGGTGTATCTCGTGATTCTCTGTCTGATTCATAACTGCAAGAATGTCAAGTATGGGAGTGGGACGTACGAAAATTACGCCTACGAAAATTACTCCTACGAGTATGGTGGGCCCGGGGGGGGCAGCCAGGAGGGGAAGCAGTTTAGGAAGCAGTTCGGGAAGCACCCTCATAATCAATTGGAGACGCCGCCGCCGAATCAGTTGGAGAGGCCGCCTCACCGGAGTGACCGCCTTCCCCCCCAAGAGAAGCGCAGCTTCTACCGCGGCAGCACCCGCATCCTCTGCTCCTTCATCTTCGACCTCTACCACGACCTCCGGGACGAACGCGTGCGAACCATCTTCACGATTTTTCTCATCAAGCTGGGCGTGGAGGAGATAAACAACTGTCTGCACGTGGAGGCTCTCTTCAGGGAAGACACCTCCATTTTTTTCCTCCTCATCAGGATGCTATTCTTAAAGAACGAAGTGCTGGCAAGCTTCGCGCGGTCCATCGCTGACATGGGAAACGCTCACTCGTTCGTGAGGCTGGTGGACTCCCTCTCGAGATGTACCCCTGGGGGGAGACGCGCGCAAGCGGCGGAGGGGGCGGCACTCATGTTGGATTCTCCCTCCTTCGTAGAACCCACCGCAGGGGGTGCACTCAACGAAGTGGGAGCGAGTTACTCGTTCTCCCCTGCTTCGATAAACCGGGATGCACTCGCTCGCGCTTCTTTGAGCGCTGCTCCACCCAATCTCCCACCGAGGAAGCTCCCCCCGAGGAGCCCCCCTCCCCCGGTCAACCGCTTCATCGACGAGGCGAACGACCTCCTGGACAAGGAGTTCGCAACTTTCATGAAGGGAGAGATTCCAGAGAAGGTCGACCCAATCAATCTGCCGATTAACATCCATAGCGGGATGAACCCCATTCCGTATAGCAACATGGAGGGAACACTTGGTGATCACCCCCAAGCAGTAGTAGTCCCCGCCGCGTGGCAGGGCCAGAACCCAAATGAACCCACGACGGCTAGCCAAAAAGAGGTCCTTGTCGAAATAGACATGGTACATGTATTCAGAGAGTTATGCAAGTTGTTCGAAAAAATGATTTTCCCAGACATGTTTCAGATTATTATAAAAAATCTTTTCAGCCATCTGTCCCTATGCGAGATGAGCAGCTTCAGTGAGAACCTCTCAGAGAATAAGATCTTTTACTTCAGTGGGGAGCACTTTGTGTATGTGCCCTTTTACCATTTGCTCCTGATGGCAATCTTGAATCCGATGTTAAGCAATGTAGAGGAGATGGCGGAGAAGTTTTACTTCCCCGTTATCCCACCCCATGTCACGAATGTGTGTAAAAGGATATCAACCTTGTTGGAGGTTCTTTGTATCAACCGATATGACTGTTTATCACAATACAATCTTAGGGAAAGCTTTCTCTCCGTGAAATTCCTCCTTGAGAGAACCTTCTTCTCTATGGTGACCGTGACTAACAGGCTGTGTAAAACGAGGGAAGACGTATACCTCACCGCATATATTAATCTGTTCACTTACCACTTGAGCGTCACACGATGCTATGTCTATTTGAAGGTCTTCCAGCTGTGCCATTTGCTCAATCTGTTTTTCCGCTTCCAGAATTATCTGTGTCTCTCCTTTGACGACCCCGCGGTGGAGATCGTCAACGAGTTTTTCACGCGGCAGGGGGGGGGCAGCAAAGTAAGAGAAACGGGAAGTAACGTAGCAGGGACGGGAAGTAACGTAGCAGGGACGGGAAGCAAAGTAAAAGAAACGGGAAGCAAAGTAAAAGAAATGGAAATCAACGTAGCAGGAATGGGAAGAAACGTGCCCATCAATAACGCGCAGGGCCGCAAGCGCAACGCCAAGAAGGGAGGAAACTTCCTCCTGAGGCTGATGGGCAGGGGGAAGAAGGCGGGGCAGCAACTGAAGCAGTCTGAGCGGCCTCAGCTGGCTGGGGAAGCTGCTCCACCGAACCAATCGAAAACGAAGACGCAGCATGCCCGGCGCCTGATCTTCTCGGAGACCCAAATCGGCCTGTTCGCGCAGTGCAAGCTCGTGTACAACATCCAGCTGGACACACGCTTCCTCCTGGAGGAGAAAAACATGAGCATCTGCGAGTTTACCAAGATACCGATGCCACAGTCCATGTGCTACCGTAAGAAGACGCGCATAAAAAATAAGGAATATCTCTTCTCCATCATCCAGGAGTATAAGCAGCCAAGTGGTGAAGTGTGTGTGGTGAGCGAATGCCTACGAGGGTGTCCTCTGCTCAACCCATGCACAGACACCTCCACCTTGCTAATCAAACTGAAGGCACTGAGAGTGAATTTCCTTTCCCTGGGTCAGCAGAAGGAGGCAAATTTAGTCGGTCTGATTGACAAAGCGCTTGACATATTTCTCTCCAACGAAATGGTACACCTGAATCATCAGGAGAACATCCCACCCAATCTGTATACGCACAAATTTAAAATTAACCATCCCGAAGAGACAAAACAAGCTTTGGAACGTTTCCTCATCTCGCAAAATGTCAACAATAGGGACTCCTTTTTCCTCATAAAGTGGAGAAACATCGCAATTCAAATTTGCTTAGACATTTTAAAAAGAAAAAAACATGTTGATTATTTGAGAAAATTACATGAACGGCAAGGTAAAATTGAGGAGTTAATTTTTTTACATGAACGTAATATGAGGAAGAATGTAGAGACGATAAAGCGAGCATTACTGTTCGTTTCCAAATTGCTAATTGAAAGACCCATACTTGTGCATGCTAGTCTCTTTGGAAAGAACTTATTCTTTGTTAAAATGAAATCGGAGAAAGATTTGCGAAGACGGAAGAGGAGTAACATACCCTCTTTTTGCAATACGTCTTCTGTTCATGTGTTTTCTGTGAAGAGGCTACTTGAGCAGGGGGTGTTAGACAGCCTGAACGAGATGCTACTTCCCGTGGTGGATTCACTCTCCCTGGAAATATTCTTTGACATTGACAATGCGCTGAAGCTCAGCTTGGTGTTAATGGGAGGACCCGAGCCCAAAGTCCTGCACGTGCAGACGTTCCACGGCAGGGACATTCAGCGCATGTACGCCCAATCGCCCTTCATTTCGTACTCGCTTTTCCCGTATAATAGGCAGAGCCTGTGCTCGATCCGTGCCCTCCGCCTTGTGCATTTGTTGCACGAGATGGTTGTGGACCTCTACTAGGCAGTGTGGCGGTGGTGTGTCCGAGCCGAGAGTTTGTCCCTTGAGTCGTTCGTTTGTCTCGTGTCTTTTTATTCTTTCCCTTTTTTTTGTTTTTTTTCGTTTTCTTCTTTTTAGCAACTTTGGAGGTGCCACCGCTTGCCCGCGCTTCCTCCCACTTCCGCACATCAGTTGTCGTCATTGTTGTACGTCTCGTAGTTGACGTCCTCGTAGAGCACATTGGTGACGTCCATCTCCAGCGTCTTGATGTGCGCCAGGTGCTCAGCGTCTTCGTTGGCTTCCTCATTCGCTGTTTCGTTCGCGGCGTCGTTTGTTGCTTCGTTGGCTACCCCGTTTGCTACCTCATTCGCCGCTTCCTCTTCTGCCTCGTTGGGTGCTTCCCCTTCCACGAGCGGCTCCTCCCCCCCGATGACCTGCGCCAGGGAGGTGCCTTCCCCGTCATTCTTGTCACCAAAAAAGGGGTCATCAGTACTCTCCTGATATAATTCAATCCCCTCAACCATGTCTGTACTTTGGAGGTTCTTCTGACCCGTTGGTTCCACATCTGGTTGTTCTGAATTCTCCTTCGTCAAAGGATCCCCGGTTGTTTCCTTCTGTTCGGTATCCGTCGGTAGGGTCCCCTCTCCTCCCTTGGACACGCCCCCGCTGACGACACTCTTGATAGCCATCTTTTTTAATGGCTTGTTTAAGCATTTCGGGGGAACATACTTAATCTTCTCTTTCTTTTTACAAAAAATTTTATATTCCTCTTTCAACTCATCATTGCTGTATAGTTTGTCACAAAAATAGATGCATCTGATTCGTATGCTCGCGTTGATCTGCATTTCGACCGTCTCCATGTATTTGGTACGAAAGGCCTTCTGCGTGTACTCTGCTAGGTTAATCTGAATGATATTCCAGCCTTCGTTTAGGATCATCGGCATGGTGCACCACTTGTTGGAGAGTCTCGTCACGGTCTGTGAAGGAGTGTTTCAGTTTTGCGTGTGTGTGTATGTAGAGCGACAGCGTGAAAGATGTAGCGACACGGGTAGGGGCGACCTTCCTGTGTGCTGCCGTCAACTGGACGGCCCACTCACCTGGAAATTTGAAATGCGAAAGGTCCTCCTGCACTTCTTGTCGTCCATTATGCTTATTCGGAAGGAGAAGTATTTGTTCATCTGAGGTGGGGGGGGTGCGGTGGAGGAGACTGTCTTAGGGAAGCGGCAATGTAGGGTCAGCCGCGCCCTGCTGGTAACGCTACTCTGCTGGTAACACCGCTCTCATGGTAACACCGCTCTCATGGTAACACCGCTTTTGTGGCACACCCCTTCCGCGTCTCACATTTTTCACGATCAGTACGATGAAGGGCAGGCTGATCCCCAGGGAGGAAAACTTCTCTGGGGCTGTGTAAATATACGAATCGGACGTGTTTTCCGACATGATCTCAATTGCACTTAGCTTAATGGTGTCGTCTAAAACTTTTCTGACACACCCCTTCTTCGTCTTCGTCTTCCATAGGTCCAGTGGTTTGGAGCTGCAGGGGGGGAAGTGATCGTATGAGCAGTGAGAGGGCATATGCAGATGCCGTTGAGGGAGTGGCTCCCCCAAACCGCTCTGCTGCGCCGGGACGCCTCCTTACCCCGCGCTCAGCAGGAGGGACAAGATGTTCGGTTGATATTTGTTCCTGTACATGATGTGCAGTGGGTATGCGAACAGGCAAAGTGGACGAAGAGGAGCATATGGGGAGAGGAAAAGTGGACGAAGCGGAGCGTATGCGGTGAGGCAAAAGCGACGAAGCTGAGGGAGAGGACCAAACGACTGATGAACCAACAAGTTAGCGTGGGAGTGTCTGCTGCTGTCGACTTATCGGTGTGTATCCATACGCACGTGGGAGAGGGGATCTCTGCTGTGCGACGTGTGACTTAATCCTCCTGGCGTAACGTCACCCGTGAGGAGTTGACCTGCTGGTCATGCAAATTGGGCTCTCACCTCATCGCGACGCACTTCTACTCTCACCTTATCCTGATGCACTGTTGCCCTCACCTTATCTTCCCTTCGCGAGAAAAAAAATAAAATACGCGTCTTTTGAGAGGCGTGTCTACATGAGGAGAAGCTATATATCTTTTTTTTTTTTTTTTTTTTTTTCTTCTCTTTCTTTCTTTTTTTTTTCTTTTTTTTTCCTTTTTTCTCCTTTTTTCCCCTTATTCCTTCTCTCTCTGGAGAGTGCCAACTCTCGGGAGATGCGCGAAACGGGTCTGAAAAATTGGACAGACATTCATCCCTTCACCCTTCCAGATGGCACAACTTTTCGAACGTGCCAATCGTATGGCCGTTAAATCCCCCAGTGGGAATTCTACACGTGGGGAGAGAAAAAAAAGGAGCTTAACTGGAAGGACTCCGATATGGCCAGCACACCCTTACTAACGTTCGGGGGGGACAAGGCCCCTCCGTTTCTGAGACAATTTTGTCTCATTTCATATGCGTATTACAACTGAGAAGTCACTCTTGTGGCTTTAATTACGCTTGCGCGATTCAGCAACCAGTTAAAAAAAAAAAAAAAGTACGTGGTGTAGCTAACTGCAAATTGGGGTGGGTGTTGCTGAACAGATGACGAAACATGTGCACCTCTGTTTGGGTGGCCTCTACAAATGGGTTCTGTGTGTGCAGGTGCCCGCGCGACGTATGGAGGCGTGGCGGGGCTCGAAGGAAGAAAAAAAAATAAAACAACAATAAAATAATAACAGTAATAACAATAATAATAATGATGATGACGGTGGCGACCGTGGGAGACACAGGGACGCGCACCCCCACAGACGTGCGCTCTAGCCGCGCAGCCAACCAGACAAATTAAAAGGGGTAAAAAAAGGGCATAAAATAGCTAGTAAAAAAAAGGTCATAAAATGGATAGTAAAAAAAAGGTCATAAAATAGCTAGTAAAAAAAAAAGGGTCACAAAAGGGGAAGGTAAAAATTTTCCAATTTTGTAGAAACAGGCAAAAAAAAAAAAAAAGAAAAAAAAGGATCCACGTGGTGGGCACGTATACACACACGGTAATGCAACGTCGGTTCGCTGCCATGTGTTCTGGTGGTGGAGAGCGGGCCTGCGTCGTCTCGCAGAGGTTCCGCCTCCGCTGCAGAGGCGATAGATACGATTGATGCTACAGGTGCTGCGGCTGTTGTGAGAACTCCGTCCGTCCGCCTGCTTCGTCATCCAGATGATCGAAGAACCCCCCGTGAGGCTGCGCAATCGGTGGGTGCTTCGCCACTCCATCGATCAGTGCTCACCTATCATGCTGACGGTTTACTTTCGCCGCTGACGCTTCGACTCACTTTCATCGCTCACGCTACGACTCATTTCCACCTCTCACACTTCAACTCATTTCCACCTCTCACACTTCGACTCACTTCCACCTCTCACACTTCAACTCATTTCCACCTCTCACACTTCGACTCACTTCCACCTCTCACGTTTCGACTCACTTTCGTCGCTCCTCCTCCCCGCTCAGATGACGGAGTAGAGGAAGGCGCCCGTGATGGCGACGGCCGAGCCGAAGGCGCCCAGCAAGGTGATTTGCGTCTGGAAGATTATAATCGATGACACGATGATGACGACGCGCTTAATCGAGTTGGCCACGGCGTGAGTGACTTGGTTGACTTTCTCCAGGCACATAAAAGCAACTTCATTGTTTAGGTAGTACCAAATGCCACTGAGAAAGATCTTCGTGATTATCTCCCTGTATGTGTAATTATTTAGAGTGACATTCTGATAGTTGACGATGAAGTTGTATGAGGCCTTTCCCTCGAAAATGATTACCAGAGGTAAAGACATGAGAGCTGAGAAGATAGTAATCATAGCATAAATGTTGGAAGCGTTAAGGTTTTCTCCAATTAGAGATTTCTGTGTCATCATCTTCTTAGCAAAAATGGATCTCATGGAAGATCCCAAATTGGAGATGGTAGCACACCAGAAGGAGAGCCATGTGAAGTGGAGTTCCTTAACGGATGCACAGATAACTCCTCCGACAATGATTAGTAGGGTGAGATATTTGTTTATCTTCATATACTGCTTTAGGAATACGATGGATAGTAGAGCAGTAAAAACAGGTTCACATGCTTTCACCACGTGAGTGAAGGATACCGTTGTTGATGACATGGACACGACGGCACCGAAGTGAACCATGATGTGACAGAAACTCTGGATCCCTATGCTCTTTAAAAACAAATCGTAGGTATATATTCTTGGAGGCTTCTTGTAGCCTGTCAACCAATACATAAAAATAAAAATCCATCCTGAGAATAACTGCACAGAGCTGATAAACCAGGGAAGCTTCGTCATGTTAAGGGCTATCTTATTATCCACATTGTATAGTATGTTCAGGGCGTACCACGTCAGGAAGAGACACATCAGCTTGGCTCGCTCCAGCACACGCGAATAGATCCCTCCGCCCAGCAACTTCTTTTCTCCCACCTGGTCTGAGTGCCCTTCGTTGATCGTTATGGGGAAGGTTCCGTACTCATTTTTCCCGGTGTCTTTCATTCTGGGGGGTTAAGAAGCGGTAGGGGTACAGCGGGGTAGCGGCACAACGGGGTAGCGGTACAACGGGGTAGCGGTACAACGGGGTAGCGGTACAATGGGATAACTACACTGCTACGTTACGCGAACTGGGGAGCACGACTGGGCGAGCAGCAAAGGGTTGGAGTTCCCCCGGGTAGGCAACCCAAATGATTGCTCCGCGTTGCCGTCTCAGGCGATCAAGCAGTCAAGTACTCACGCGGTGATGTGTTGATGTGCTGATGAGCTGATGGGCTGACGTGCTGATGAGCTGATGTGCTGATGAGCTGATGTGCTGATGAGCTGATGTGCTGATGAGCTGATGTGCTGATGAGCTGATGTGCTGATGGGCTGACGTGCTGATGAGCTGATGTGCTGATGGGCTGACGTGCTGATGGGCTGACGTGCTGATCGGCTGATGTGCTGATATGCCGATTCGGTCATGTGTTCACCTCCCTGCTGTGCTACGTTCTGTAGAGCAGTCTGTCAGGCGACACGGGCGCATCAACAAAGGGGTGAAGATGTGCACCAGCGCCACATGGACGTGTACAACGGGGTAAAGAAATGGGATAAAAAAATGGGATAAAAAATGGGATAAAAAAATGGGATAAAAAAATGGGATAAAAAAAAGGCATAAAAAAATGGGATAAAAAAAGGGGATAAAAATAAGGGATAAAAAATGGGGTAAAAAAAGAGAGTAAAAAAAATGGGGTAAAAAATGAGAGTATAAAATGAGGGCAAAAAATGACACGCAGAATCGATCCAGATAGGGATGCACGAAATGTACCTACTCTCAGCGCGGCGTGTATTTTTGCCACCATGCATGTAGTGCCTAGGTGACGATGGGCCAGTGTGCCTCCGAAAAGAAAAGTGGCTGTGCTGCCCTTAGGGGTGAAAAATATGCCTCTTTTCGTTTGCCCCCACGCCGCTTCTTCGATCCGCAGCTAAGCGGGTAGTGCCCCAGCAGCCACGGGCAACGTGCACCTGATTTGTCACCTATATGGGTCTACCGGCTATATTATATATATATACATGTGCGTATATATTCCTGTGAGGTTGTATTGCCCCATGCCGGATTACATGTGCGCAGCTTCTTCGTGCACGCGGGGAAACCGGGCTGGGGCTGCACCTCAGGGCGTTTGCCCCCCCGTTGGGCGCCGCCAACATGGGCATAGAATAATGCACAGAGAAGAAAAAGAAAAAAAGAAAAAAAAAAAAAGCGACTGAAAAGGAAGAGTCGAACAGTTTGCACACACGAGCAACTCTAGCGGTCACAGCTGCGGCGACTGCCCCTAATGGCGCGACTGCCACTAATGCCGCTGCTGCGGCTACTTCCGCTTCTGCTTCCCCTCCTTATCATGCTCCGCTCCACTGCGCCATCACATGATGCCTCGTTGTCGCTCTCACCTGGTCACTAACCGCAGCGCTTCCTCCACCTCTTCCGCAATTTTCTCCACTCCTGCTTCTATCGAGGCCCTGCCCCGTCCCCACCGCAGTAAAGGTTCTATTTGAAAAAGTGACGAACCGCGCACAGAGGGAGCTCTCTACAGGGGAAGAAAAGCTCGACCCCACAAAGAGCTAAACGCAGCCGTGCATGCAGGGTACACATACACATGAGCACAAATGTATATTTAAGTGGAGGGCCTCTTCTCCTCATCATTCCAATGCGCCTGCTTAAAAAATGCAAGCCCATTCAGGGTGGTCCTCCACAGCCTGTTGATTTCAAGCCAAGTGCCCCCCGCAATAAGGCTGTTGCACACCGGTGTGCGAGAGAGCAAACCCTCCCCCCCTAAACGCGATGCTGGGCTGTTCATTCTGGGAGGCAATGTAGTACAAGGCGGGAAAATAACGTTAAAACAGAGGAAACTTTTTTTTCTTTTTTTCTTTTTTTTTTTTACAAAATGTGGACCGTACACCTTTTGAGAGAGAACCATGAAGCATTAATTATTTGCACAGACATTTGTGCTTTTCGCAGTTAGCCATTTGATGATGCTCCTTTCCCATCTTGTGGTGCCCCTTTCCATTCTGTAGCTCTCCTTCCCATTCCGTGGCGCCCCCTTCAATCTTTATTTTTCCCCCCCGCATGAGAATTGGCACAGTTACACACACAGAGTGTGTGGACGCGGTGGCCTCAATGAATTCCCTTCAAGCGCCTAGCAGACTGGCTTCTCAGTCGGTGTGCGTAAAGTACCACTGGCAAAGTCTTAAAATGGATTGCCTCTCCCCTTCTTTTCCGCAACACGAAAAGAGGTAGTTTACTACTCCTTTGTTTTCTCCCGCTCTCGTGTTGCGAAGTATTTTTTTTTTAAAATGGCGAAATTGTGGTGACCCGTGAAGGCTGTGGAGCGACAGCAGGGGCGCCACTTCGCGCCAGCACAAGAAAAAAAAAAAAAAAAAGGAAATAGCAGAGTGAAGCAGTAAAGGAGAAAACTGACGCAGGAAAGCAGCGTGGTGAAGCGAAAAGGGAAACGTGGCACATAACATGGGAGTGAATTATCTCCAGATGTTTAGCAGCCCATTTTTTCACTCGAATATGTGTACCCCCAAAATGGGGCCTCTAAAGTTGCCAACAATTTGCTTTGTAAAAAGGCTTCAAATGTACGTACGCACCTGTCCCATTTTATTCTTTCCGAAGGGGGAGGGAGGCAAAGTTATGTTCAACGGAGAGTTTATTGGCCCCCTTGGGGTGGTGAACGGAGTCGCACTTGAGCAGAGGAACACATGAGGCAAATGTCCCCTCTTGTTTGTATAATTAGTTGAAACAAGAAGAAGAAAAGAAAAAAAAAATTATTATCCATTTGAAATGCCTGGCTGTGTTGGTCACCTCGACTTATGGAACCCTTTTGGGGGAATATGAGGACGAGGCAATTCACACAGGAAGGGTGAAGCTACGTAAGCGGCGTGGAGGTGAAGCAACTCTTCTATCTCTTCACGATCGCTTCTCCTTTTGGGACAACAAACATGTAACGATAATTATGGGTGAACGAAACTTCTTCACAGTTCGTCTGACCCGTTCCGGTAAAAAAACACTTCTTCCGCGTGACGGACGAAGTGGATACGTCATCATGTTGGCCTCTCCACAGGAGATTGCACAGGAGCTAACACACACGAAGTGATACACACCCAAGTATGAACCGCTTAATTTTTTGTAGAGCTGCCACGTCATCACTTTAACCCCCATTGGGAAAAATGCACAAATAGTGAATGCAACAGGCACAACAGCGTGTCCATTTCGCTCCTTTAATTTTGTTTCCACGTGTGTGTCAGCTTAAAAGGGGCATCTCTCCTCCATTCCTCTGCCCTCTACGTAGTTCACTTATTGTCATTAACCTTCACAGGGGAAGATATATAAACGCTGTGTACTGTACACATTGAATGCGAGGCCTCAAGTGTTCATACTGGTTGTTACGGCAGTCTGGGAAAATTGGCCCAGGCAATCGCTTATCGCAGAATTGTGAGGACGTTTAAGATGATCGATTTTGTTTTATTTTGATAAACTACATGGATCAGTAGGGTGTGTTACCGGTGGTCCTGTGCTTTGCTCTTTTTTCCACTTTTTTTTTTATCCATAGGTGACAGCGCAGGGTGAGGGATACCGTTCTGTTTTGTGAACAGCGATTTGGGGACGGGGAAAAAAAAAGGGAAAAAAAAAAAAAAAAAAAAAAGTTACGTTACCTTTGGAAGGGCTACCTTTTGGCACCTTTCTGATACACATTTTCCTTTTTTTCCTTTTCCTTACCTTATCTTACCTTTTTTTTTTTCCCCCTTAGCATGACACTTAAGCACATACGTATTTAAGCAAAAGCCTGTACAACTCTGCACACTCGATGATGAGCACATAGGTACATGCGAAACCTTACACGCAGAAATGCACCATTTGGTACTTCTCCCCCTGTTGTAGAGCGGCCCTTGTTAAAGCCTTCCATGCGCCACCTTGTGCCTGCTTACGCGTCCATTTCACGGTCATGTGTTTTACCGTGGTAACCTTTTTCCTTCACTAGTATATTTTTGCTGAGCGGTTAAACGTGCGCGTGGGGGTTGCCTACAAATTTGTGTGTCTCTGGAGATCACTTCAGTCGGCGGAGTCTTCCTTTCCCTGCCTGTCTTAGTCGTATCTGAGCGGGTGATCTCGAATGAGTGGACAGATAAAGCGCCCCTCCTCGGTCGCAGTCTGACTTTGCCCAGGAGCAACTAGATCCTACACGTCTATCGCGGGGCCTCGTGCGTGCAAATGCATTCGTAAGTGTGCCCCCATCGGAGCGCCTCCTAGGCATATTGCAGCGAGTTTTTTCTCTGCCCCTCGGGGGCGCACAGAAGAAAGGGGTGCACAGAGCGGTGGTCAACTGAGACGCTCACGCGTACTCTCACGCATACTCTCACCGATACATTCAACGATATACTAACGATATACTAACGATATACTAACGATATACTAACGATATACTAACGACATACTAACGATACACTGACGATACACTCACGACCGTCCGAACTGCTGCCCGCAGCGCTACCCGAGCTCCTCTTCGCACCACCCAAAACCGGAGGATGAAACTCGACACAATATTCAAATTCCTCCTCGTCGTAGTCATCCTCTTCACAGTGCAGCAGATATGGCCCCTACGTGACGTGCGCAGCAAGCTGCAAAGTGGGACACTGGTGCCTTGGGTGAAGAGCGCACTGAGCAGACTGTGTTCCAATTTCTCTTTTAAGAGCATCAGAAGGGACATGCAGATATTTTACCGGGAGAAGTACATAGTCCCGAGGCCGTGTTACTTTGTCTTTTTCCTCGTTAGCGGCTGCCTCACCGTGGGCGCCAAGTGGTTCATGCACAAGGTTTCGCAGCCACTGGGCGAGCGCTGGATCCCCCGCAAGTAGGCCCTGACCTGCAAAGAAGCGCGCCGCATGGGTGCGGTGAACCTGCACGGTGAATCTGTGCAGCGTGTGTGCACTCTATGTGGCCGCCTCACCACAAAATCGCCAAGCAACTTCCCCGCGTATCCCCCTCCTGCACCCCTCAGAAAATGGAGCGAACGCATACGTAAGATCAAGGTAGCCAGGTTTAACCTGATGTTCTTTAACTTGTTTTACTTCACCTTCATCAGCGCACTCGGTCTTGTCGCGCTCAGTTCCCAGACGTTCTTCCCCCACGAAATGGGGGGACAGGGCAAGCTCAGCGATTACTTCGCAGGTAGGTGCAGGCACCACTAAAAGAGAAGGAAAAAAAAAGGAGAAAAAAAAAAAGGAAAAAAAAAGAACAAAAAAAACACCTGCGTGGGATGCAAATGTGCAGGTGTATCCACGGAGGGTGGCACCAAAATGATATATATATATATATTTTTTTTCTTCTTCTTCTTCTTTTTCCACCTTCCCCGTAGGCTACCCCAACCAGAAAACTTCCAGTCTTATACACCTGTATTACTTCCTAAATGGCGGGTACCTTCTCACGTCGGTTTACTCCCTCCTCATGGCTGAGAAGCTGCCCGATTTTTATGAAAACTTCCTGCAACACCTGTGTGCCGTTATCCTGGTTTACTTTTCCTATGGCCAGAACTTCCTCCGAGTTGGCTCCATCATCATGCTATGTCACGACATATGCGAGGTTTTCTCGTCCGCGTAGGGAAGGAGAGGAGAGACAAAGGCGCGAGGAGGCGCTGCAGTGAGAAGCGGGACACTGTGTGTGTTATCCAGCCACGTCCCCACCGCAATAGAGCGATTCTACACCGCACTACATGGTTCTTCACCGCTTTACCGCGCTTTACACCGCCCCTTTCCCCCGCAGGTGCCGCGTCTTTGTCGACACGAGACACAAAGCCGTGACAGTCAGCTCCTTCTGCATCCTCTTCTCAAGCTGGGGGTTCCTCCGCCTCTACATTTTCGCCAACAGGTGCATACTTCCCATCCATAGAAACTTCCATGTGTTTAATCCTTTCATTGGGTACGAAGCTTCCGTGTGGTTAACCTTTCTCCTGCTAGTCATTCTGCTGATGAATGCGTATTGGTTTGTTCTGATGGGAAAAATGTTTCTTCATTTCGTTGCGAGTGGGAAGACGGAAGACATTTTGACGCGGGTGGCCGAGCTGGAGGAGGGGGAGAAGAAGGCCAAGTAAGCGTATCAGCGGTGGCCCGATTGTGGTGTGTCTCTGGTTGAGTGCTTCTTCTCGCTGCTCTTCCCCCTCGTCTGTCCTTTTTACCAATTCAGCGTCCTTTTAAATCTGTGCAGTATTTTTTTTTTGCGTCTTCCTAAACCTGCGCAAGATTTTTTTTTTTCACGTCCTTTTAGAAACCCCCTTTGCCGCTCCTAGCCGCTCTTTCATCTCCAAAAAATAAAAACAATCAAAGTGCTCTGCTATATATTTCGTGGCATGACGCGCAGGTGGAACAGGCCAGAGGAATGGGTTCCTCCCCTCTACATGTATGAGTCCCCGTATGGGAGGCAAAGATGGATACCCTAGGTGAGCACACAGGTGTTGCCACGTGACGGAGGTGTCTCTTTAAGGGCATCCTCTCTAAGGCACTCCTTTTTTTTTCTTTTTTTTCTCTAACAGATGGCCCCATCTGTCCGTCTAATGTTATGTTGACCCTCACTTCTGCCCCCCTCTCACAATGTGCAGGGAAGGCACCTCTTTTGCAACCCCTACTACTGCCTCTTCGGAGGGGGGGGTAGCTTCGCCTTCTTCGGCCACATTTTCTTCGGGACGATCGCCGCCTTTTTGCTCGCGACGGATTTGGATTCCCCGGGGGGGTCCCTCTGTTGGGAAGTTTCCTTCGGTTCCGAAGTGTCCTTCGGGTGGGAAGCTCCTCCCGTTGGGGAAGCTTCTCTAGGTTGTGTCTCCTCAGTTGGGGAAGCCCCTCCCGGGTGGGTTGCGTCTTCTGGTGAGGTTACCCCTCCCGACTGGGTTGCCTCCTCTGGTGGGATGGCGTCACTCGCTAGGAAGCTCGCATAGATGGAGGTGAGCACGGACCGATCGGGGCGCAAAATGGAGAGTATCATATTGACGAGTGACGTAATGAGGGACCACCCCTGGGAGAGGATATTCTTCTGGCGATCACTAAAGGCAGAGAATTTCAAATCGGCATTTGCCAGCATGCACATGCGTCTGTCACAAACCCTCCTCCAGGCAGCCTTCAGCATCTCAAATGGATTGTAGCCATTTGTATCTTTCATTTCGTACAAGTACAAGGGGCAGTGCATAATGAGCAGTTTCAATATGGTGATGGCCTTCTTAATCCTATGTAATAGTTTAAATGGGAGGAGTAAGAGGTCGGCTGACAAATCTTCTATGATAGGGATGTGTGCAGTGAGATGATTATTCATCTCACTAGAGAAGCCTTTCCAACTGCTTCTCCTCATGAATGGTCCCACAACAGGAACAGATAAGACGTCGTCATGATGTGCTCTCTGGGCATAGTAAACTGTATGTGTCCGTAGCAGTCCTTGTACGAGGCAATGCAGCACGCTAACATTGTCGTTGTTTCTTAACGTGACGTCTGCCCCATTTGCCAGCAACGTCTTTATGACCTGGAGATGCAACCCATATGCAGCTAACATGAGTGGAGTCTCTCCATGAGACGTCATTACGTCCACTTCAGTTTGGTAGTTTAGTAATATCTTCACTATTTCGTCGTGTCCATTTAGGGAAGCCATATGAAGCGCTGTGCTGCCTTCACTGTTAAGTAGCTTTACTGGCACTCCACAGATGAGTAGCTGCTTCGCTAACTTCCTCTTCCCTCTTGTGCATGCGTAGTGAAGTGCATTATTCAGGCCTAGCAGTTTATGCGAAATGGATTTCGTGAGTATTTTTTGAACATAGTAGTGCTTCACTTTGTTATTCAGCACATCGTCTGACTTTCCCGAATCAAAGCTGCTACACATGAGGGAGGTAGTACTCTCTTCATCTGAATTGTTTCTACCCTTTGAATGATTCATAATGGTTCTTCTTTTCTCCTTTCGATCGTCACTTTTTGATGAATCTATGTCGTCTTCACTTCGGAAGGTCTTTCCCCTTCTATGATGATTACTCATGTGAGAATCGGTGCTTAGCCTTTTGTGGATGATGCTCTCTTCTGCTCCGATTTTGGCTTCGTCGTGGTTGGGAGGCGGACCCGAGAGTGGCTCCTGTACAGTGTGTACTCCATACGCTGCATCGGCCACATCCGTGTGGTCCCTTCCTGCAGCGGCGAGGTTAACATGCTCGTTAAATCGGAGCTTCTCCTTGTACTTCCTACGCTTCCACCTCTGTTTCGCGTCCAAATGTTTGAGAAGAATGGTAAGGATGATTTTCTGATTTGTGTCTACCTTTTGGCTAGCTGGTCCGTAGGTGAATTCCTCATCCTGGAGGAGGTCCCCAAAGGGGAAGGGTCTCTCCATGTCGTTTGCCCAGGGGTGGCACTTCGTCTGCCCGTCTTGCAGAGGCATCATGCTGGAACCGCTTCCCCTCTTTGGTATCTCTTCGCCATGCAATAGCGTGACGTATTGAGCTTCAAAATTGTCGAGTTGCACCCTCTGAGACTCAATTTCTTGTAACAGAATGGGGATATAACTGGAGGAATAGTTCGCCTCTTCATATGGAAGGAATGAACTTGCCATGTGTAGAAGAGCATTCATATGTAATTCATTCTTAGAAAAAGGAGAGTAGTTCAACTTTAGGAGGAGCTTCACTAATTTTATGTTTCCAAAGGATGCCGCGATGGAGAGTGCATTCTGTCCATTGCCGATATATTGCATTTGTTTGAATAGCTTGAAAATGTGACTCACATAGTTTTCTTTCTTATAATCGATATCGAAACATTGGCATGCCATGTAGATCGGGTAGAATGGGTCCTCCCTCATGACTGTCTTAATTTTCCTGTGCGATTCATTTTTCTTTTGTGTCACATGATGATAAAACGTAGTGAACTCTTCCTTCCTGTTAATTTGAAAGTGCATCTCGCTGTATGGACTGTACACATTGAAGCAGATGGCATAGTTTCTCATCTGCTGAATTAGCGTGATGGTTAGAGTCGAATTATATCCTGTTGTCACTACTGCGTTCCAGATAGATGCAAAAATGGGTTCTATCACCGATTCTGCATCTATCCCCCCTGCCTTCATGTAGACCTTGCAATGGTTCGAGTAATTGAAGGTGTAGTGAGCCAGATGTGCATACAGGTGGACCTTCTCCAGTGAGCATACAGGGAGCACATTCTCCGCTGCTATTACTGCCTTGCGTAAAAAAATTAGAGAGTCACGCAATTCTGGGTTCGGATCGTGTCTCATCAAACCGGCTAGCAAGGTATATACGTTGAAGAGAATGTGATGGTTCGGGTGAAGTAGGTACTGCACCGCTCTATGTATCTGTAAAAGCTTCTTCTTCGCTTGGATGATGTCCCCATGTATATATTTCGTCTGCGCCTCTTCGTACTGGGCCTGGATACTTCTCTCTAGCCGCACGCAGCGCTTGTTTCCCTGGAGGGACAACTTCCCGCAGTTGGAGCACAGCCACCGCTCTGCCTCCCCCGCTAGTCTGCGTGTCACGTCCTTGGCGCTGTCCTTTCGATCATCGGCTAGATTTCTCTTCCCGACTTCGCCTCGCTTATCACTCTCCCGACGAAGTTCCTCTTCCCCCTTCATGTGGAGCGCCTCGATCAGCGCCTCCGTCTTGATTGGGTATATATACCCAACGATGCACCTGGGACACTTCATACTCCTAAGGTGTAGGTTATTCTCCGTTGAATCGGTGCACCTAATGCACCCACAAGAAAAAATACGAGCCATTCCCCGGAAGCTCTTTCTAACATTGAGGGGGACATACTGGTCGGATAAAATGCTTATGCACAGTTTTCCCCCTTGCGGGATGTTACATATCGATCGGACGGTTAGAACCCCATCTTCGTCATAATAGAAGGAGCAGGTAGGAACACAGCTGTGGTGCAGTTTTGCTATTTCTGGAGAGAAAACCAATCCGAATGTCGTTTCCGGATTGGCTTGCTTAATAATGGAAGATGGAGAATAATACTTAACGGAGAGGGAATACTGCCATACGATAAGCATAAATTCGACTAACTCCTTCTGCTTTAAGTGAAGATAAAACGACGGAGGGAACTCTAATATGATCCTATTCGCTAACGTGTCAAAAGAGGTGAATAATTCAACTTGGTTGTCTTTAACCACTTCGTAGAAGGATTCATTTGAGAAGATGTCATTCAGAATGTGCTCCTCCTTGTCTTTATATTCCTTGTCGATCTTCACTTTTATGAGGACACGAAATATATGCAGTACGATGTGGAACATTAGCTTTGCTTCCTTCGCAGCAGCGGAGATGATGTGCATGATAGGACACTCTTCTTTGTGCACCTTCATGTTCTGTGCTAAGCATTTCCAACTGCAAAAGATGTGTGTGCAGGTGTGTGGATTCACTGGACATTGGTAGCACTTGTGCGAGAGGTTTCTTTCTCTGAGGCAGTGGTAACAGGTTGGGTACACGTATCCGTTACAGAAGATGTGTTGGGTTAGTACTAGTGGCTTGATTTGTAGGACCACTTCTCCCGGCTCCATGTCCCTCTTGGCCAGCACTACGCGCAGTTTGGCCGGTCGCTGCGTTGCAGACCGCTCTCCGGCCAAGTTGTTCCTTTCGGGGGTTCGCGGGGCACTTCGAGAGTAACTTTCCCCCCCGCTCCGTTCATCGCTTCGTTCATCGCTTCGTTCATCGCTTCGTTCATCGCTTCGTTCACCCCTGCTTTCACCCCTTCGTTCATTGCTTCTTTCACCGCTGCTCTCACCGTCGCTTCCAACGCTGCCTTCATCGCTCGAACGGCCCAGCTCCGCCGCCACACACAAGGGCAGTTCCCGCCGCCTCTCCGGGTAGCAGATTCTCTCCTTGTACTTGGTTGGGATCCTCGCCTCCTTCCTCACCTGGCGCTCCTCACACAGTCTTAGCAGGCTAACAAGTTTGTCATTTTTCTGGTCCAGGTACAAGGCAGCATAGAGCAGATTCAGAGCAGACTTGTAGTCTCCTATCTTCATGTAAAACTTACTAAAGAGCTCATACGCATGGATAGTCTTGGGATTCCTCTCGAGAAAACTTGTCACCAAATCGGAGATGACTTCCTTATCGTTTCGTTCGTGCAACTTTGGTAGTTCAATTAAAATTTCGTTCAGCTCTTCTTTATCCTTCTCCGTCGGATCCTTGCTCTCTTTCGTCTGTCTATCCTTCCGGCGCCGAAGAGCGCGCTTCTCCACGTCTCGGAGGATGGACACACGCAGCATGGCGGTCAGTAATTCCTTCTGTGGTGTCTTACGAGGATGAGTCACTGCCCGACGAAGCGGCTTCCCTGGTGATCTACACTACTGTTTGTTCTACCACAGGGGAGAAGCCTCTTCGAGTGTAGGCTGCCCACGCAAGGCGACATCCGACCATGCTGAGGATGGATTCGCCTCAGACGAAAAAAGACAAAGGAGTCTCCCCGCACACACTTCTCACAAGACAGGTGTTTACTTATTCCCTCGCGTGTGTTCAGATGGGCGAAGAGTCTCAGCAGGATCGACACGACATGCCACCATGTCCTATCCTCCGCAAAAACGAAAGACGGGAAAAAAAAAAAAAAAGAAAAAAAAAAATTAATGTGAAAGTTCACTTCCCCTGGGTAAGTAAACCAGCGTGGAACATGCACGCGAAGCTCCTCTTTCCGGTTTGTAGGGGGGTCGCGCCACGGAGGGGGCAACTGTACCTTCCTGCCTGCGCGTATGCGTATCAGGTCGTATCAGGACGTATCAGCATGTGTCAGCATGTGTCAGGATAGACACGTCAGGAGATACGTTTACTTTACATGTACAGGTTTATTTTATTTTATTTTCCCCCCTTTGGTCACCCGACTTGTCAAACGGACAACATAATGCCACGTGTCGCAATGTAAAATGGGGTGTGAAAAAAAAAAAAAAAGAAAAACAGAACAAAGTTGAAGCCCTTCCAGGAAAACCACCTTTCTTGCTCGTGTGGAATTACCCATCCTGCAATGTGTTAATTTTTTTTTTTTTTTTCCTTTTTTTGTCAGACTTTTTTTACATGAATCGAGCAGGGGGAATTCCTCCTGGGATGCCAGCGCGATGGCGATCCCTGCAGGAGATTTTCTGAATGGGATTTTTTTTTTTTCTGGAAAATCAAACGGCAGTCTTGTATCGATGGAGGTGTGTGGGGGGAAAGTGTACCCATTTGGGGAAAAATTCGCCTTGAAGGGAATACACGCGGAATGGGAGACGGGTGAGCCGATGGTTATATCGGAAGAGCGTCAAATTGGACGATCACCAGGTTGAACCATTGGCAAATTGGCAGAGGGGCGAAGTGGAGAACACACACTTTGCGCCCACCCCATTTCGCATGTACAGAAAGGGCCATCATGTTTCAGCGGGTGCCAGGAAAACGAGGAAAAGGAACACACTGAGCGAGACGCGCGAGACGAACAAGGCGCGCAAAGGGAACAAGAAGAACAAAACCCGTACCTTATGCGTAACCGACTTGAATCCCCTCGGTTCACTTTAACCATCGGGCGAAATCTAACTCCCCTTAGTGCTCTTTTTTTTTTTCCTTTTTTTTTGGATCCCCCGCGAACAGAAAGTTGTCAACTTGACAATTTTACCTGCACATGTTCAGAAAAGAAAAACAGATCATCATGGAAAGCGACGAGGACGAGTACACGCAGCAGAAAAAAGCTGCACATCCACTTGCTCATCAGATCACTTTGCCTTGAAGGCCGAACCAAAGATAGGAGGACTCCGGAGAGTTTCCCGCAAATTTTTTTTTCGCGAGCATGTGAGATCGCCTTTGCATGCCCCCTTTGGATTTTCTCCCCTTCCCCCTCAGGTGAGCATGCGATGAGAAGAGTGAAAAGGAAAGAAACATGATGCATGTAACTTGTATGGCTGTACCTTCACGCGTAAAGCAAATGTGTGAGGGCTGCCTCTCGGTCTCCCTACCACTGTGTGTGTGTGTATGTATGTGTACACGTGTCCCTCTCCACCCGCCCCCCCCTTTCAGCAGAAGCCGCAGCAGGAAACAGGCCCCCCTGGACCCCTCGTGCCCGACAGCTTAACCCTTTTCAGTGGAGCCCCCCTTGCCGCATGCATGTTCAGTGCGGGTCCAACACTGACCCTTTTGCCGCCAACCCACAGCTCTGCGAGGGAGGAGCGCGGGGAAAAAAAAAAACGAGAGCGGGGAAGAGAAGAGAAGCAGAGAGAACGAAACAGAACAGCACGCACGCAAAGACAACAAAACCCAATTGACCATCAAATGTTGAAACGAAAAAAAAGGAGATTCCTTTTTAAGACACACCATTTGGACGAATGCCCATTTTGAACCCTTCCCTCCCCCCCGTCCCAAGGGAGACCCTTCGCACGCAAAAGATTCTTAGTCCCTCCAACAGGGACCATTAAACAACCCTGCAATAACATGCTTATCCGTCTGGAGCAGCTTCACTTCTATAACGTGCTTGACATTTCAGACTTTCTCCATTTGTTTGTCTCTTTTGACGCGCTCATCATTTCGGAATCTCTGCATCTGCTGAAGCGTGTGCTCAAGAGGCTGCTCCCCCTTTTGATTTTGTCTTAATCCGCCCCCTCAGCCTGAAAACCGGCAGCGTAAGTTCTATCCTCTCAGCCCCCCCCGCGAGGTGCATAGGAAGGAAAACCGTATCTGTGAGCTCCGTTTCTCCATACATGTGTGCCACCCCACGACATCCCTCCTCATTGCTATGCTGACCCCATTCACAGGCCCCGTAAACGCGGAGAAGACTCCCTCGTAGAGAAGCACGCCCACTTCGACGTCCAGTTGCACGCCCAGTGTCACGCCCACTTCTCTGCCCCCCCCACTACCAATGACGCACGCGAAGAGAACCGCACCGGCCCTGCTGCTGGCCGCGCTTCTTCTAACCTGGCTCCAAGTGTCCATGCCCAAGGTCCACGTCAACCTAACCAATCAAGGCAACAATCTGTTACACTTCAATATAGCCCCGGGAGACACAGTGGTATACACCTGTCCATACACTGTTAACGGAGACATGCAACACATATGTCCACGGGAGAGGGAATTATTCGAGAGAAAGCTCTTCTGTTTTGAAAACGTGCTGGTAAATAGGAACGTGTTCCCATTACGAGACTACGTCAGGGGAGCATACAACATTACCAGTGAAACAGTGGACAACGTATATACTTCGGAATTCACTGTCCCCCCTGTTGTCCTTATGAATCGTCATTTTGAATGCTACTGCTTCATGGATGATAACAATAGAGTCATCAAGAGGACGGTGAAAATAAATATATCTAAGGGGATCGCTAGGAAGATCCCTGGGTGTGACTTCAACGATGAGTACAGAGAAATCACTGCCATCACAACGTTTAGCAACATGAATCGTAGGAGAGTCAAGGTGTGTGATAGCTATCCTAAGGGGGGGGACACCATCGTTCTGTTGTGCCCTGTGAACTATACCGTCCAACCGGAAGGATGCTTCAATCAGGTGTACGTGAAGAAGGACGAGTTCAAAAATGAGAAAAACAAACTGGAGGAACGATTCAATATCAGTCGTAAGTGGGAGGAACACAAACATAAGATAATCGATGTGGAGGCTCTTTTTGGTCAGAGATTGACTATCATGGGGGATAAGATGACAAAGTTTGCTAAAATCCCCGTTACAAATGAAGAAATCAGTTTTACCTGCACATGTCAGGCAGATGATGGGGCAGACACGCTCATGATGAATGTGTACATAAACGAGAGTTACGACAAGTTCGTTAATTCTAATTCTAATAACAACAAGGTAGAGGAGCACTCGAAGCATACCTTCAGTTCCACGACTGAGACTAAGGTGGAGGAGCGCAGCGTCGCGTCCTCTTCTTTTTTCGCTCAGGCGCTGCTCTGCGCGCTGTCGCTGCTTCTCCTGAGTGTGTAGCGGATGGGTGTCACATCCAGGGGTGCCGATTCTATCAGCACTGTTTATGTGTACATCTTTTTGGCAGTTGTTTTTTTTTTTTTCCCTGCCTTTCTCACCCCGTATGGGCCACTTTGACGGACTTCACAACATTTTGGGCATCTTCGTTAAGCGGGGTTCCCCTACATTTAGGCGTCACGCAGCACGCACCTCACAAGACGCACCGCACAAGACGCACCTCTATATAGTCGCCGACTTGTTCTCCTTGGGGGTTCTCCCGTTGGGGTGCGTACGATGGGGCGCACTCCATGGGAAAACTGCTTGCCGGTTCGTCATGGCTTCGTTTTCACGTCGTAACGGGTTTGTCATAATATTGTTCCCGCTTCGTCACCGCTCCGTCACCGTTTCTTCATAGCTCCTCCACCGCTCATCCACCGCTTTGATGCCACTTCTCCCCCCCCGTGGGGCATGCCAAGTTGGGCAGGAAGGTCGAAATCTTCAGCACCTTGAGGGAAAACTGGTAGCCCCTCGTCTGGCTCGGCTGCATGGCGTACAGCAGTAGATTGAGCATCCTGCAGTGAGGAACACGAGAGTGGGAAAAGGCGTCGCAACAGGTGTAGAAGCGGACATGAGGGGGAGAATCGTTAGCCGGACGGACTGCCCACCTTTTCCCGAGTGCATTACTTCGAGAAGGTAGCTGTCCCTAGACGTACGTTTCTATAAGCTCCTCCTCACAGCTCATGGGTGCGTATAAAGGGGGCTCCCTGTTGAGGGCGCCCTATCTGCGCAAGAGCCCCCACGGAGCTTTGCCTAGCGTGGGAGGACTCTCCGGAATGCACTATGGAAGAAACCCTGAAAGACACTCTCAAAACCACTCGGGGGGCCACTCTGGGAGCCACCCCCCTCCTGCCTACCTCAACCCAGTGCGCAGAACGAAGAAGCCGTTGCTCTGTGCGATCTTCAGCATTTTAAAATCGACCCTCAGTAGCATGGCCAAACCGAAGAGGTCAAAAATGATCAGCTTCAGTGCCTTCTTCACATGACTGACGGCGTTAACATTCACCAGGTTGATGCTGCAAAGAGTGGGGGAGGGAAGAAGCAGAAGGGAGGAGCAATGAGCAACGGAAGAGTGATAAGGCGAAGCGTGATCAGCGTAACAGTCATCAGCGGGACACCGATCAGCTGAAGAACGGGAAACATGGTATCGAAGTTCATTCGCTTCTCATGTTATCTTCCCTCTCGGGAGGACGCTGAGCTGATGTAGGTAACTAACATCTTGACCAGCAGGTACACTTGGCTGGACTTGCAGGCGAGTTCCATCGGTTAGGTCACGCGGTGGGGCAGCGAATAAGGCAACCTCTCAGCAGGGCAATGACTCTCCTTATCGTGAGAACGCGGGACGAGTCGCATGAACTGAGTAAGCTTTACTTTGAGGGGAAGCAAAAAAAGGGTATTGCTTCCCCCCTCGCTGCGTTTCCCCCCCGTCCCTCTTAATGGACCACATATATGCACCTGACAACAGATCTGCAGAGCGGCGGATCAAGAATGGCCCAATTCGCTGCGCGCACAGGTGATTCAAAAAAGGGGGGTTAATACTCCAGGGGGCGGATACATATTCACTCATACATTCACATAACGTATGGGTATACAAATAGGAGTAATAAATATGGGCATATACATGTACGCAACATCTATGTATGTATATATGTTTGTATAAATGTATATAAATATATGTACCCTTCTAGGTGTATTTTTTTTTTTTTTTTTTCTAGCCGCATGCAGCGCGACTGACAAACCGCTAACGGTTCATTCAAACCACGTGGACAACGCATTGTTGTGCCCGGCTCCCGGCGACTGCGCGGAAATCACAGACATATGGAACACCTGTTTGGGGGGGTATGCCCTGGGCACTCTCACTGCTTTACATTTCTGCGGTTTGATCTTGTGTGGTTAACCAGGAGGCTACTGCCTGGCAGCGAAGCACTTGGGGTGTCCCATTAACCCCGCTAAGCTTCGCGGAACCCCAAAAAAAAAA